TAAATCTTAAAAACTACGCAACGGAGTTTGAGGCGGTTTTTTTTAATAGATAGATAGATAATGATTCTAGAGGAAAGTTTATATATATTCAATACATGTACAGTACACCCGTGTGAATACGGGGTGTGAAGCTAGTTTATATATATAAAGATAAAAAAAACATTGACCTGTTCGAGGCTCGGGGTCCAAAATATTGATCCAGAACTAAACCAAATAATGATTAATTGAATGACCACAATATATAAAATAAATATAATTTAACTCACAATGCTGTAATTATGAATGGTGTCAAAAGATAGTCCAAGCCTTGGGAATGGACTTTTTCTCGATGGGGCCGCCAACTTTTCATCTTCAAGAAGTAGTTGTCTGTAACAATAATTTATTCCTTCATAAATGAAAAACGGCCTCGGTGGTCTAGCGGTTTAGCTTTACGTCGGGTGGTCGCGGGTTCAATTCCTCCCACGGTTGAAACATTTGTATTTATTCTGTTAGGGTAAAACCCTATTATTATTAAATAGGGTTATTAAATTTAAGGTTTATTAAATCTAATCGCCATCTAGTCTCAAGTAAAGCAAAGCTTGTAATATGGTTTCTTGACAACTGATATAAACATTTAGAACACTTTTTTCTTTCTAAATACATAGGAAACAGATCAATACAAATAATCATACTCATGAATACAAATATTTGAACTATGCTAGAAATCGAACTCGTGTCCATCGAAAAGTATGGCAGTGTGCTAAACCGTTATACCACTGCCATTATTAAAGATTTATTGTAAATAATGACGTGATCTCTTCATGTATATAGTTGACATAAACTGCTATTTTAGTTTAAAAAATATTGAGATATTTACTAAGACTTACTCTCTGACATTTTCAGTAACAACTCTGTATTCTATTCCCAAAGAAGAAAGTTGGTTTTGGATGTACTCCTTCTGGTCTTTTGGTACTAGGACTTGACCTGATCTTCCTGGTATAACATGGGTCAGGATATCGATCTGGACGCTGTTTTCCAATTGGCTGATGAGTTTGGCTTGTTCCACATCGGTCACTGTAACTTCATAAACTGCGTAACTGGAATAACAAGTATCATTATCATCATCATTAATGCTACGTTTACATTCAGCCGCTTCCCCTGCCACTCGCGCTGCCGGAAATATTGCCGGGCGACAACTGAGCGAGAGGGCTGAATGTAAAAACACGCTACCACTCGCGCTGCCAGTCCTTTGACTCGCGCACGAAAAACCGACAATCGAGGGAGCGCCGGGCAGCGCGAGTGGCAGCGCCAATGGCATGGGAAGTGTTTCCACTCTCGCGCTGCTCACTTCCGTGATCACTTAGGGAAGTGTTATGCCCAATTTACACTCAGCCAGAGTGCGCCCCTATAACATAGTATAAAACAAAGTTGCTGTCGCTGTCTGTCCCTGTGTATGCTTAAATCTTTAAAACTACGCAGCGGTTTTTGAAGCGGTTTTTTTTAATAGGTAGAGCGATTCAAGAGGATGGTTTATATATATAATACATGTACATCCGTGCGAATCCTAATCTATACTAATCGAAGAATTGTAGTTTATAATATTTTTTTACTTATACTTGTGAGTATGGATGTGTGATGTATAATGACACGAATTACGTTTTGCTAATAAGATTTTTATTGTAACAAGATACAAACAGTTCATCGTCTGGATATGTACTTTTGTAATAGACCACATTTCCGTTACCGGCATTACCAAAAACACATTTCTAATGTACAGAGTAATTATTCTCAACTTCATAGATTACAAGACTAATCTGTGGAAACAGTACAGACATATATGCACTTTCTAACGTGTCACATATTCATTTGGGGTTTACAATTTCCAAGAGTTACAAGTTACTCTTTCACGCAAAAACTACTGAACGGATTTTAATGAAACTTTACAGTAATATAGCTTATACATTAGAATAGCATGTAGGCTATATTTTTTATTTAAATTTAAGGTGAAACCGCGAGCATAGCTAGTAAATACATATTTTTGTTATCTTCCTCTACTGGTGCCCAATCAGAGCACCGTTAGCGTAGACGGATGCACCGTTCCATTCATCATCTGCTTCTTCCTTATCCCATTTATTTGTGGTCGGCGTAATATGTTTTTCTCTTCCATTCATCTCTGTTCGCAGTCATCCCGTTATTTACTCCCTTTCTCACCATATCATCTTTCACACAGTCCATCCATCTCTTTTTCGGTCTTCTTCTACCCTTATAACCATCCACATTCATATGTAACACCGTCCTTAGGATATGATCTTCATTCTTATGCATTACATGCCCATACCACGATAGACGATTACTCTTTAACCTCTCCGACACCGGCGCTACTTTCATACTTCCTCTGATGTATTCATTCTTTATCTTGTCTATCCTCGTCACACCACACATCCATCTCAACATTCGCATTTCAGTTGCATGCAGTCGTCTCTCATCCGTCGCCTTTACACCACACCATTCCATTATCATCCATAAATATACATAATATACATAGAAATTACATAGACCGATACAAATAATCATATTCATGGATAAAGTGTGAATCGTGCGAGGAATCGAACCCACAACCATCAGAATTAAGGCGGTGTGCTAAACCGAACGTTACTTAGTTATAAACAAAACAATTACCCTTCATATTGCTCATGTTTGGCAAATACCAGCAAGAAAGACAGAGTCACTAAAAATAATGACTTCAGCATTATGATCAAATGTCCTTGATCACTTTCAGAGAACAAATGTACAGAAAACCATACACGCACTTTTATTGTAATCCATTTTATCAATATAAGTAGATACAACTTAACCTACTTTGTATTAATCATTTATTATTAATCATAATCTAATTCCACACAGATATAAAAACATAATCTTTGTTTTGAGTGACTATTTTATGCCTATTTTGTGATTTGAAGGAAATTCTTGCAATAAAGGAAAATCTTTAGCGTATGCCTATGGCTTCGTTATAGTACAGAAGAAGAGGCACATAAAGAGGGCCAACCGGAACCACTGTGGTACTGCACTCACGAGGCCCAACTTCGTGTTGCGTGCTGCTATACCGACCACGGCAATGTACCTGTCCCGCCTACACTACGCCACTAAGGAGCAGGACATTGTCGACTACATACGGACCAAAAGTAACCTAACATTGAGGGTCACCATAACACGCGTTTCAAGGCGTTTGTGACTCGAGTTCCCAGCTGCTGACCACCTTCATGAAGGAGGACTACTGGCCGAAGGGTGTGGTGTATCGGCGCTACCCTGGTAAATTGCCGTAATCAGTGCTGTGAACACATAGACAATTTACATTTATTTTAATATCATTCATATGTATCATTCATATGTAAGGTTATTCATAATAAATTAAAATCTCTATTAAAAATAGGGGTTGGTGATAGAAGGGTAAAAATGTAGGGGTATATGTATTTTTAATTCATATGTCATGAGGTAGCCAGCAGCTTGTTGGAAATTCCACTTAAATAAAAATAAGCAGTTTATCTATCTAAATATATATAACTCAAAGGTGACTGACATAGTGATCTATCAACGCACAGCCCAAACCACTGGACGGATCGGGCTGAAATTTGGCATGCAGGTAGACGTTATAACGTAGGCATCCGCTAAGAAAGGATTTTGATAAATTCCACCCCTAAGGGGATAAAATGGGGGATGAAAGTTTGTATGAAACTTTGTCAATTTTAAACCGATCGGGCTGAGACTTTGCATGCATAAAGCTACTATGACGTAGGCATCCCCTAAGAAAGTAAATAAAAGTAAAGCATATACCTAATTAATAATAATACTTCTTAACGAGAGCGAAGCAGCGGGCAAAAGCTAGTATTCATACATAATTCAAAATATGCGTTGCAGAACAAAATTTATTTAAAAGAGCAACACGCAAATATTGTCTCTCGTCACAAGAACGTGCACGTTCTTGTGACGAGTTTGCTTTCGGAATGAGCACTAGAATAAAAAAAATATTGTATGACTATTCAAAAGTGCTCATATTAAGTTTGAATAAAGATAATTTCTAGTTCTACAACTTTGTTTTAAAACAATTAGGAAATGACTATATAGCAAACATGGGATTAGAAGTATTAAAAAACAGTGTGAAAAGGCTCATTAAATGAAAAATTTATGGGTAGAATTTCTTACCCGTTGTTCTCAATTAAATTAATTATCCAAACTGGATTGTAGGGTATTTTTTTTAAGCGCATAAATGACAAAATTTTTGATAAAAATGTCGCGCATGTGTAAATGATTTAGACTTTGTTTTTGTTATAGAAACGGTCTTAAAAATAATAAATAATATTAAAAACAAAACAGTGTATAAATGAGATATTGTATAAATTTTTAAGTCAATCCATGGACTGACGATTTGATTGATGTAAAAAAATATTTTAATTACTTGTTAACTTTCTTACCAGTTCTTCTCAACTGAAGAAGCCGACTAAACTACTACGACCGATGGATCAATAATTATAATAAAATTGATGTGGCTGAGTGGTTAAAAATGTACTGTATAAATAACTAGCTACACGCCCGGCTTCGCCCGGGTGTACATGTATTATGTATATAAACCTTCCTCTAGAATCACTCTATCTATTAAAATAACCGCTTCAAAATTTGCGTAGTTTTAAAGATTTAAGCATACATAGGGACGGACAGACAGCGACAGCGACTTTGTTTTATACTATGTAATGATGAACTTGAACTTACCGACCTTCGAGTCTTAAAAACACAAACATACTAAATATGATTCCTTATATGTACATATTACAATAATCTCTTAATGCGTCAAAATCCTTATTTAAAAAACTAATTTTGTTAATACTAAATATATATTTATCACATAATCTTAGACATTTTGATGGATATTAGATATAATTAATGATTCAGTACTACTTGGAAGTTGTACTAAATACATTGTTTTTGAGTTTTAGATTTAATTCGAGCGTGGTTGTTGAAGAGCTATGAAGGCTTTGGTGGTAATATTTCTATTTGTGGTTGTTTATGCAAAACATGAACAGTACGAGGGGTTAGTCGTTTTTTTTTTAAACTTATAAACAGACTTTTTTAGAATACTCAAGGTCAAAATTCTGAACAACGCTTATTTACTAGAGCAACACGCTTTCTTGCTCATTCTTCTTGTGATCAGTTTGCGTTCCAAGTTTGTTTTTTAAATTTATAAACAGATCTCTTCACAATAAAGATCGTAATTCTTAATAACACTTATTTACTAGAGCAACACTCTTTCTTGCTCATTCTTCTTATGATTAGATTTCGTTCCAAATTTTCTTTTCTAATTTATAAACAGATCTCTTCACAATACAGTTCGTAATTCTTAACAACACCTATTTAACAGAGCAACAAGCTTTTTGCTCATTCTTCTTGTGATCGGTGTGCGTTCCAAATGTGTGGTAGAATAAAAAATATGATTATTCCAAAGTGCTTATATTAAGTACATATATTCGAATAATTTCTATGTCATTGTTACATGGACTACAATATGTTCAGCAGATTATCTAAAGGCATGCAAATTATATTGTGATATATTATAGATATCATAAAATAGTTTCTTTGTTATACGATGGGATATGCTTTTTCCTCTGCGTGAGTACCTTTGTCTGCCTATTTCAACCACCAAGCAGGATGCTTTATATATTTATTTCGTTGAAGTACTCTTGTAGTGGTAACATACAAATAGTATCTGTCTACGGCTTGGAGTTCCGGTCTGCGCTCCTCACAAATGTCCCTGTGGCAGTGATGTCGACAAACTAGGACATCACGGACTGTCATGCCAAAAAAGTGCAGCCCGTTTCTCGAGACATGCCGCACTTAACGATATCATACGCCGGTCCCTTGCCACTGTCAACGTACCAAGTCTACTTGAGCCGACTGGTATTGCAAGAGACGATGGTAAGAGACCGGACGGTATGAGTTTGACTCCATGGAAGATGGGCCTGGTGCTGGTATGGGATGCAACCTGTGCAGACACGCTGGCCCATCCCATGTACATGGAACCAAAAAAAAAAAAAAACTGGCTGAAAAAGCCAAAACATGTAAATACAGGGGTATAGGCTCCGAATATGATTTTGTCCCATTCGGTGTCGAGACCCTTGGTCCGTGGGGTCCTAGCGCTATAAGACTTTTCAAAGAAATAAAGAAAAGGTTAGTCGACATCACAGAAGACCGAAGAGCTGGCAGCTACCTTGGACAAAGAATTAGTCTAGCTATTCAAAGAGGGAACGCTGCCAGTATCTTCGGAACGTTGCCTAAAGGGACCCCTTTTAATAATATATTTTAGTCATCATATTATATATTTTTTTAAGCTTTTTAATTTTAGGTTCTTAGTTGTACAATTAGGTTATGTAAATATACATGTAGTAAAAAACGGTTATTTCTATATATTTTAAGGTTTAGTTACTATAATAGTATCATAGGTGTCACATAATATGATGATTTTCGTGGTGCTATTTATTTATATAGGCGATTGTTACAGCTTACCATCAGGTTGATTGTCATTAAAGTACATAAAAATAGGATATATGACTTGAACTTCAATTTAATAATATGTATAAATATATGTATATACTTTCTAAATTTTACGTTTTTTTAGTTTATTTGTGATAATTGGGTAGATGATAAATAAATAAAATTATGTGCAGCTATATACCCTTCGCATGTCTACGTTTGTTGCAACTATATAAACGTTTTATGTGTATATTTTTTAAATTTTATATCTATATTTAATTATGAAATTAATAATTAATTAATGTTAGACTTAAAGTAGATAGTATTCCATAAAATAGTATTGTCTGCATGCAACGCCAATAGATGGCGCTGTAACAAAATTAAAACGCGCTAATGTTTCGTTTTATTGAAATATCATATGTTATTTGTAATATTCATTTTCTTGTATCTGTATGTAAATGTACAATATAATTGTATGAATAATGTATATTTAAGTGTTAACAGTTGTCGAAATAATATAGTTACTAGTTGTATCATAATAGGAATATCTTTACGAAAATTAAAGGTATTTATCTCATGCAACGTTTCTGTTGCACTTGCTGTGGTCACGAGCTGACTGAAGTACAGCAATATCAATGTCGGTAGGTGCCCGCAGGCCCCGTTCCACCCCGACCACACTTTTACACACACACGACACCGTCCTCGTCGGCAAAGACGACGACCTCAAACACACAATATCCCGCATTCAACCGGGCGCCTGCGCGCGCCAGGGCGCTCCACACCGGCGCCCCTCCGATCGATCCCCCGTCCAATTCAAACGGAGATCGAAATTACGACGGCCTGAGCCGAGGTTCGAACCCCTAGTGGTGCCCTCAGACTAAAGACGTATCCGTCGGGCAGGAGTTGGCCTTCAGCCGCTCCATAAGTCCTTCCGCGGGTTTGGAGTGCCATCTGCACTCGCCCCATAACGTCCGGTGAAGCTGTAAAGGCCAGCTACGGCCAACAGCAGTAGAGTAGTCCGAAAAAAAAAGCAGTTTTTTCAACTACCGTCACTAAAATTAACAATTAATGACCGCGATACAGCATACGTAGTAGAAACGTTGAGAGAGGTAAATACTTTTATTTGCCATCTTAAGCCCTGTACTATATTAATCATGTGATAAGTTGAAAGTAAATTTTTGTATTGTATTATCGTTTCTTTCTTCTTAGTGTATGTATCAACATTTTGAATCACGATGAATAATACGGCGCCATTCGTCGCGGACTGTAGCTTTCCGGGTACATTCGTAAACTGAGCACTTAGTTGCGGCCATGTATTATCGTAAATTAATATAATTTTTTGCTATGTTATTGGTTGTGATGATATATATTAAATATGAGAGTAAACTGATAAAATGTACTTGAGGTCGCTTCCACTGTCTGTTCTTTTAGATCTTTTAAATTACGCAACGGATTTTAATGCGATTGGAGTGATTCAAGAGAAAGCTTTATATGTATTACATTTTACATGCGAAGCCGGGTTGGGTAGATAATATATACTAAATAATGGTAAATTTAAGGAGAGGTGACACGGTTTATGCAGTGTTTAGTAGATAATATTCATATTTGTCTTACTGGCCTTAATTGCATTGAGGTATCTAGGTAACTGTGTCCCATATAATTGAATATAATAAAGAAAATGAGTAAATTTTTTTACAGATGGAAGTCGTACTATATAGGTCCAAAAACACAAGAACAACTTCAAGCAATAGGTAGTTTAGCTGAGGAATTTGAATTGGATGTTCTTGCCTATGCTAATTTGGAACGTGAGGGTGTTGTACTAGTGAAGCCAGAATACCAAGATGGATTTATCAAGGCTTTGGAAGAAAGGGACTTTGCATATAAGATCCACTCTGCTGATGTGAAGCAGTAAGTACAGTATAAAATCCACGACTTTGGGGCTGTAGCGGTTTGGTTCATCACGTTACTTCCGATGGTCGCGGATTCGAATCCGAGGAATCGATTTCTCTCAATATACAAATATTGATATCGACAAGTTTGGTTGTTTGTTATCTACGTAATTAAGATGTATTATGTATGTATTTACAAAAAAGCAAATATTGTTATTACTTGTCTAGTACCCACAAGCTAGCTTGGGACTAGATAATAATATAATTATAATAATCTCAGGACAATTCATACGATACCATCTAAACCCAAGTTAAGCTACCTAGAACTTGTGTTATGGGTACTAGACAACTGATATAAATAAACTGATTTTTTATTCGTAAATACATACATATTATACTTAGAAATCACCCAGACCAAACAGTCATACACATGAATACAAATATTTGTACGAGGAATCAAACCGCGACCATTGGAGATAAGGTAATTTGCTAAACCTATGACGTCAAATGACGACTCGTAGTTTCGAAATTACTGCGCCACCTATTCATTACTTTTGTGGGGTTAAAATCTAACCTATATGATATCTAAACTAAACTAACCTACATGATATTGAAACCTTCAATAAAAGAGCGTCTTAAAAGGCCGGCAACGCTCTTACAATTCCCTTGGTGTTACGGGTGCTCATGGACAGCGGTAATCACTTACCATAAGGCGCGGCGCAAGGTCATTGAGCTCCAATGCTATAATAAAATATACATTTTCAGATCTCTTGAATATGATGACATAGCAATTGAGAACAGAAGAAAGGAAAATCTGGCCCGGAATGGCAGAGAATTACCATATGATAATTACCAAGAATTAGAAGTGGTAAGCATAGATAAGACAAATATAAATCTGAGGTAAGGTTGGATGTAGTTGTATTGTAAACTTCTTGCAATGATAAAAAATAAAATGTGTTTTATAATAATTTGATCGTGATAATTGAAAGTATTTTATTACCATATACGAAAATAGACGTAAGAGTTGATGTGAGTATAGTTGCCATATTAAAAATATATATAACTAGTATTGCCAAAAATCTAATGAAATAATTAAAAGTAATAAATATTAATGCTATAAAATTATAAAAAAGTAAATAACGGTAAATTAGGCGCCTTGATATTTAGTTATAATTTACCTTAGCAAGAAATAAAAGCCTTAACAATCTTTAAATCAAATGCCAAAGCATATAATTTTATAGACGTTTTAAATTTATATAAAGGTAATTGTAAAATTTTGTATTCATTCCCATAAAAAATCTATTGAGTTAGTTCACATTATAGTGGTACTATGCCATAGCATTATCTGGTAGCGGGTTTGGCTATTATGAATCGTTTTTAAACTTGAATCAATAACTAACTATATCACTAAAGTAATTAGTCTTCATCAGGATGTGAAAGAACGCCTCGACAGTTTATTAGATGCAAAAGATCTGCATTTTACGTGAGACATTACGCATTATTTATTCTAGATTGAAGATTACCTCCGTCACGTTGCCAGTCGTTATGCAGATAAAGCTACTTTAGTTTCTGGTGCTGATTCCTTCGAAGGTCGACCTATATATTATCTGAAAATCTCTACCACCAATTTCGAGGATACCAGCAAGCCAGTAATATTTATTGATGCGGGCATTCATGCAAGAGAATGGATTTCTCCTCCAACAGTCACATGGGCTATACATAAACTTCTAGAAGATGTCACTGAGCCTGATCTCCTGGAGCGGTTTGATTGGATCCTGATACCTGTTGTAAACCCTGATGGATACAAATTCACTTTTACAGATGTAAGTATTACAAGAATTTCAATCACATGATATTAGAAAGACTATATGGTTTACCACCGTGTAACTTCCGACGGTCGCGAGGTCGATTTCGAGTTTGACTTTCGCACGAATCACATTTGCGCTTATGTGTAGAATTGTTTGTATTACTCTAGATGTTTTCTATGTATATTATGTATGTATTTAAAAATGTATTTCAGTATTACCATCAATTGTTGGGTACTACCCATAACACAATCTCTGCTCAGTTTGGGCTGAATGACGACGATCGATACCTCCGAAAAAAGGAGAGGAAATGTATTCTTACCTGTTAGCATTTTCTTGTCACAAAAATGAAGTTACACATGCAAAGTGTACTTTATGATTATTAACCAGTAAAATTAATGCTATCGAAAATGATTAATTTTCTTGGTGTAACAGATTACAAATGATAGATGATTAAAATGGTGCGTACTAAAAAAATAAAGTACAATAAATAGTAATATAGAAATAGGTATAATAATCTTTATTTAAAAAATACAGTCTTTTGAATAGTCATATTTTTTATTTTATAACTCATTCGCGATACTTATTTATCTCGTTTCAGACTCGTTTCTGGCGCAAAACTCGTTCTATTGATCAAAATGTAACATGCCCAGGAGTAGACGGCAACCGCAACTACGATTTCTACTGGAACACAGTTGGCACTAGCAACAATTCTTGTGCTGACACATTCGCTGGCAGTCGACCATTCTCTGAGATCGAAACTAGAGTCGTCGATAGCCTTCTTAATGAGTATCTCGATAGAATCGCTCTGTATTTGACCATGCATAGCTATGGGAGCATGATACTTTACTCATGGGGCCATAATGGTACTCTTTCTGACAACGCTATAAATTTGCATATAGTTGGTATTGCAATGGCTGAAGAAATCCTCGTTCATTCCTTACCCCATTTCCCTACATATTTAGTAGGTAATGCAGTGCTCGTTATTGGATATGCAGCATCTGGAGCATCTGAAGACTACGCCCATTCTATTGGCATCCCATTGGCGTATACTTACGAGCTGCCTGGTCTATCTGGAGGTCTTAATGGATTCCATTTAGACCCGAGATACATTGAACAGGTGTCTCGTGAAACTTGGGAAGGTATAGCAGTTGGTGCAAGAATAGCTGGCGATTTATTTGTTAAAAAATAAACATTAAAATATTTTTTTTTGTAAAATTTATATTCTATAATGTTAATTACAAAATTGAAAAACTAAATTCTTATGTTAATTATTGATATATCACTTATCCATGTACCAAACTTTGACATCGATCATCTACACATCTTGTTGCTATTTTGGATATACGCAGAATTTCTGAATGCAATTGATTACGTTTAATTTACTCCCACTTCCTGGAAACAACCATCTTTAGTTATCTCTAATGATTTTAATAGGAGTTCAAATTTGTTACCGACAAAAATTCCATTTTTGATACCATCAAACGTATTGCTTAAATTTTTGTATTACAGAACAAATTCTAAATATGTTGAATAAGTATTATATTAAAGAAGTTAGAAGTAGTTTATACTATTGACGAGAGGCTAAATCATCGTACAGGGCAGTTAAAGTCTTAGTAATAATAAAAACTATTTGACGACCAGAATATTTAAGTACTTTGTTGATACAAATCTTATTTTGGAAAAAGTATAAATGAGTAAGTATTTCACAGTCTCATTAAACTGGTAATCATTAGCAAACTCTTTCTAATTGCATAATAGAAGGAAATAGAAGGTGTAGAAATAATGTACGATGATATAATAGATAAAGGAAAACTTGAAAGAAAGCTCGTTGCGAAGTCTCATAAGCTACTCGAATATAGCAGGGCAAAACGTTTTTATAAGAGATCAGACTCCATCAATGAGACGCTAATTAGTTGTAATGATGATGATGATAATGATAATGTATGTAGTGAAAATGATTTAGCATCATATGTCATTTGTAATGATAATTATGATAACAGATCCGCGACGATATCTGCAATTAAGTATTTGCTAAATAATGCTATTATTACATACATAACGGTTTGCAATAATGTTTGTTATTAACGTATGAACTTCTCGTCTTTGCATATTATTTATAAATAACAAACCGCGCAATATTTTTATAGCTTACTAGCTGTTTGTGCTCGCGTTAATTTATCCCCTTAGGGGTAGAATTATTCACGATCATTTCTTTGGGGATGCCTACGTCATAGTAACTTTATGCAAAGTCTCAGCCAGATCGGTTTAAAATTGACAAAGTTTCATACCCTCTTTTATCCCCTTGGGGATACAATTCATCAAAATTCTTTAGCGGATGCCTACGTCATAACATCTACCTGTATGCCAAATTTCAGCCCGATCCGTCCAGTGGTTTGGGCTGTGCATTGATGGATCACTATGTCAGTCACCTTTGAGTTATATATATTTAGATATCTTATTCTGATGAAGCTACATTACTGTAAGGTAAAGGGAAAGTGATTATTCCTTTTTTATTTGGACTGAGCAGTTACCAAGTATGTGACAGACTTACTGATTATTCAACGTTAATAAATTTAGTGAGTCGTTATTTGGCACCAGTTGACCTGACTGAACCTCGTCTGCATTACATTCATTGAAATTTATAATTATATTCCGTAAAATTTACATAATATCATTTTTTATGTGCCTATGTGTTATTCTGATGCATAAGCTATATTACTGTAAAGTTACATCAACATTCGTTCAGTAGTTTTTCAGCGAAAGGGTAACAAACGTCTATTCTTTCGCCTTTATAATATTATTAAAATGGTACCAATTTGTGGTAATATGTTCCAACTTAGTGAAATCCAATGGCCCATTTGGAAATCGCTAAAAAGACTGCGAACCTGGATGATCCTCTCCCGGTATAAGTTGGTGAAATGGTCACAAGGTAGGCTTTCGAATGTACTCCTATTATAGTACTATCTACTCCTATCATTCACACTACCATCCTAGAGTAGTAGAGAGAAAGGGGATTGTTAGTAATTTTATTTATTTATTTTATTTATAAAAACTTCATGCACAAATATAAAACAAAATAAAGGTGTATATGGCGGACTTAACACCATAAGGCATTTTCTCCCAGTCGACCAACAGCAAACAGAGATTAGTGGGCGGTGCATTTAAGTAAATAATAACATGAAATATAATAAAAGGAGAAGAGAAGTAATGTGGACTGATGATCTTATTGCTAGCAATGTACCATGTCAGGTTGACCTCCAATCGGTTCCCCCTGGAAACCATCGTGATAAATTCTTGGTGAATATGTCACGATGGGCTAACTGACCTGACTTCATGCTCATCGTATCATCATTTAAACCGTTAGCGCAGGCGGGTGCACCATTCCATTATCATTCGTTAACGATAATAATGTTTTTATAGAAAAACTTTAAATCTATAGCACTGGCAATATTATCTGATTACATTAGTAATGAGTGCGTAGCGACTTCTATGTTGATTATCGCATGCCTCTCACTTGTTATACTGTAATTATTTATATAAAAAAACATCTATTAAAAAGAGCAACACACAAGTTTCTTGCTCATTCTTCTTGTAATGAATTTGCATTCCGAATGAGTGGTAGAATCAAAATATGGCTATTCAAAAGTGCTTGTAATGAGTTTATTTGAATAAAGAATATTTCTATTTCTATTCATAAACTACCATCCTAGACTACGGCCCGTCTACTTGTCTGTTCTAAAGCTAAAGCTTTATAAGTGATAAAATATAAGTTCTTTTTTAAAGAAAATTGAATGTACTAGGTATCTTATTTGGATTAAATATTGATAAGAAGATTTATATATAATACATATAAATATGTAAAATTCGGGTGAAACCCAAATGACTTAAATATTTTCACGAATATAATGTTTATCGTATCATGGAATATTCTTGATTTTTATAGTTACAATTCGATTTTCAACTGTTTTAAATGTAGAAGTTTTAAAAGTGAATATATGATACTTCAATTAGTATAACTTCCTAATCAAATACACTGCATAATCAATATAAAGAGGAGACGCAGATTACACTAATATTTTATCTTAATTCATTAATCATACTTAATCAAGTTAATTAATGAAATGTAGGTACAACTATCTATTTAAATCGATAATGTGGAATACATTAAAGTCCAATACATCATTTGGATCACATTATTTCCATTTGGCCAACAAGGAAGACGGGTACAATGTTTAGAACAATATTTTTCGTGTGTTTGTCTCTTTGTGTAGCACTCGCTAAACACGAGCAGTATGAGGGGTAAGATTTATCAGTATTATATTTGCAATAAACTTTTATAGTTAAGTACATGTTTCGTAAATACTAGGTATTACAATTCTAAACTTATAAAAGATATAATATGTATTTTTTTAATTAATTAATTTATTAATAATGTTTCTATTTGAATTTTTGTTTGAAAATATTAGTAAAAATTTTTCTCTCGTTTTATTTTCGCTCATTCTTATATTTTATACATTGTCTATGTTCTCATTTGTTATTTAGATGTTCTTTTTGTGTTTTTATTTTAATATTTTTATTACTCCTATATAGATATTACATATTTTATTGCAATCTATTTCGTTAAATTATTCATAAAATTTTTAAGCATTTAGATAAAATTTATAGCATTCTATAAATTTTACTTAATTGCGAATAATAATTATTATGTTTGGAAACATTTTATTTTATTCATTATTCATTATTCTTTATCGTACACACACACACATAATAAAAAAAATTTTTTTGTATTATTGTTATTGATCGTGTATTATAGAAAGTTTTCAAACGATATTAAAATATTGTTTTAATAATATTAACTATAAGTATAAATAGACATACATAATTATATAAATATATAGACATACTTAATGGTATTTTATCCATTTTGTGTTTTTTTTTTGTATTTTGATATTGTATATTTTTATTTTCAAACGTTTAAATTAATTTAAATAAATTAGTTAGCGAAAGTCTATTAGCTAACTAATTTATTAGTTAGAAAAAATCTTTGCGGAATTTTATACCTAATTTAAAATTAGTTTTTTTTATATTATTTACCATTTTATTTTTTATCCTTGGTCATGATATCTGCTTCTTCATTATCCCATTCATTTGGGATCGGCATAATATGTTCATCTCTTCCATTCATCCTTTTTCGTTGTGTTTTATTCCTTTTATCACTAGTAACGATTAATTCTTTATTTTAATTTATATTTCGGAGAAATCTTTTCCGCGAAATTAATTTGAGATTATAAATTTGGATTTATAACATTCCAGTATACAAAATATTTGTAATACACTAAATATTTACGAAGCTCGACCTGTGTTAATTCAATTTTAATTAAAATACACGTAATTATATATTAAATTAATTTATTTTAAATTTCTATATTTTGCTATAATACCGGTTTTAGAAGCAAAAAACGTATGTTATTTTTATTTTCTGTTTGATTTAAAAATATAAATTAATATTTTTATTTCTAAAATAATTTCTTAGAAATAGCATACAGCAGGTGTTCTTAGAAGTAATATTAATTTGAATAAAAAAAAAATATTATCCGGTGAAATTCACACAACGTCTCAAGTTAGCAGAGCTTGCGTTATGGGTTCTAGACAATGATAAACTACTTAGATATATTTTTTTTGTAAGTACGTACAAAAAACCCAGACCTATACAAACAATCATACTGACGAATACAAATGTTTGTGCCATGCGAGGAATTGAACCCGCGACCATCGGAAGTAGGTGTGCTAAACCGCTGAAATAAAACAAACTTACTCATATAAGTCCTCTATATGAACATCCACGGCGACAACCAGTTCTTTAAGTCTTCGTATAATAAATGGCAGATGATGATGATGATGATGATGATGGCTTTATTATTCTTTATTTCTATTATAGTGCTGCCGTGTATGATGTGACTGTTACCACTAAGGAGCAGGCACAACTCGTGAATCAGCTGGAGAATGAGATTTTTGTCGATGTCTTGTCTCACGCCATTCCCGGAAGAACTGGTCAAGTCCTTGTACCGAAAGAACAGAGGGAGCAATTCCAAAATGAACTGTCAAACTCTGGGATAGAGTTCGAAATTGTAACTGAAAATGTTGTTGAGTAAGTATATTGTGCCTTTTTATAAAATATGATGTAGTCCCAGACTAAGCTAGTTACAGCTTGTATTATGGGTACTAGACAGCTGATACCAATATATATATGTATATTGGTTTTTATAAACACATTATACATAGAAATCTAGTCCCATAGCTACGTAGAGCTTGTGTTGTGAGTAATAGGTAAACACAATCACATAGATAATTCTTTAGTAAATATATACGTAATATACATAGAAAACACCCAGACTGCTACAAACAATCCTACTCATGAATATAAATATATATACCGTGCGAGGAATCGAACCCGCGATCATCTGAAGTCAGGCGGTGTGCTAAACCGCTGGACTACCGAGGCCGTCCTTATAATCTTACTAGCCAACCTGCGCCACTTCGTCAGCATCTCACTTACTTGACATTTATCATTATATTTCGCCCAATTTACATAATATATCCTTTTTAAATTATAATTTATATATTACTACATTATTGTAAAGTCTCAATATCTATTCAGTAGTTTTAGCGTGAAAGAGAAATATGGGACACATTCACCTAGATACATCAAAATAATAATTGCATTTAATAATGTCTAGTAAGACAAATTCAATATTGTGTACTAAGCACTGCTGTGTCTAAACTGTGTCCCCCACCTTACATTTTCCTATTGTTATTTAGTATATAAGATCAATATTTCTATGTACATATTGTCAGTCAATTATCATCTGTAATATACATCGTCTCGACCAACAATAAAGTATTACTTACCCGCAACAACAAACATCCATCTATACTCACAAACTTTTGCTTTTGTAATATTAATAAGATATTAAATTGTTTTCTTTATTGACCACAGACAGTTACAACTTGAAGATGAATTGTTAGCCGCTGCTTCGAAGAAAAGCAACAGATCTGCTTCCAGAATTGGACTTTCCTTTGACACTATCCACAGATACAGCGTTGTGAGTATATTTGTAAATTTTAATTGTAATGAGTACACTTTCATTAAATAGTTATTTATAGCATAGGGGACTAAGGACCTTGTGGCTTACCTGATGGTAAGTGATAACCGTCAGACATGAGCACCAGCGACACCGCGGGCCTTTTAGGTATAAGCTCTTTTCTTGAAGCTTTTAATATCGTATCGTTCGGATATAATGTCTAGAAAGTGATTCCATAATGTGATTGTGCGTGGCAAAATGATTTTAGAAACGCACGATGAAGAATCACCATTCATCCAGATGATCAAGATGGTATTTTAGTTTCTGGTATTAATACAAAAAACAATTTCTCAGAATACTCACCGTCATATAATTTTTTTCCATTATTTTTGAGAATTTGTAGAGTAAAATAAACTGGCGGTCCACTGGATGGAAAGTGGTATCTATTGTCTATGTATATCGTATAAACTATAACATATATATCATAGTATATACTTTTTATCAGTACTTATTCTTACAAGATGATTATTTGTAACTTCTTCATTATTTACCTACTTCAATTGTATGTTCAACTAGCTATTCCCGCGACTTCGTCCGCGTGGAATTTAATTTTAACTTCTAAAATAAAACTCACAACCGTTTGTGTCTAAGTCTGGTAGTTAACCACGACTATTATTATTTATTACTAGCTGTACACGCGACTTTGTCCGCGTGGAATTTAGCTATATTTTCTAAAATAAAAAAAATAAACGTAGCCTAAGTTACTCCTTATTACATCACCTACCTGCCAATAAAAGTCCCGTCAAAATCGGTCCAGCCATTTCAGAGATTAGCCGGAACAAACAGACAGACAGACAATAATTGTAAAAAATGATATTTTGGTGTATATATCGTATTTATATTCATGTAGTAAAAAACGGTTATTTCAATATTACTAACAGACACTCCAATTTTATTTATATGTATAGATGTATAGATAATAATACTTGTTTCTTAGGTCGACCAATATTTAGTAGATTTAGCAGAGGCATACCCTGATATTGTCACCGTGGTATCAGGTGGTGAAAGTTTTGAAGGCCGAGATATTAAATATTTGAAGATCTCCACAACCAACTTCCAGGTTTGTATTTAATTTAGTAGTAATATTTACTAATATCTAGCAATTCTGAAAGCTGCAAATGTATTACTGAAACTAGTTTTTTTAAATCTATTATAGATCTTTTTATTTATATATTTACATTATGTAATATGAAGTATTATGAAGGTTCATCTTGCTCATTATAAATTTTATAATATATATTTATTTATTTAAGGGTAATTCCAACAATCCTTAGCTATCTTATTGTATTGAAATATTAATTATTTTTATATTATATATTTATTTATTTTAACGTGTGTATTGAGATATTGATTAATCTATAAAATACTAATTCTAAAAATTAATAACTAAATTAATAAACTAATAAAGAATAATGGTTAAAAAACTCTGGAAGAAGTTCTGACGTCTTCTAGCGTTTTTTACTTAAGAAGAATGAAACGTTCTTAGTTAGTTAATCTGCAATCAGGTGCAGATGAGTATGTTCTTATAAGAAATCTAGTTGTATATTATGTTGTATAGTATGTTATATTGTATAAGAAATCTAAGTGTACAAGAACCGACCGACTCAAATTGCTAACATAAAAATATACAATTTTAGGATAGAAGTAAGCCCATTGTGTACATTCAATCACTTCTACATGCCCGTGAATGGATCACACTCCCTGCAACCTTGTACGCTATTGAGAAGCTCGTCATCGATGTAGTGGAACAGGACCTGCAGCAAGATATTGACTGGATCATCGTGCCTATTGCTAACCCTGATGGATATGAGTTCTCCCACACCAACGTAAGTTCAATGACAAAATTTATTTCATTATTCTGTAACTAAATTACTAATTACTAATATTAGGAGTTTAATAGATAGAGTTTAGTAAAAGTCCTTAGTGAATGTACTTGGGGTAAGAATGAATATATTTAGTTATGTAGCTCTGAACGTTAAGTTCAAATTTCAAAATAAAAATTCAAAATTCTTTATTTGGGTAATACAATTTTTCCTAAGTTCCACATAGTTGTTGAAGCCTTTTAAGCATACAAACGCCTATACCTGTAGGCTCCACTCTTTCATAGCTGATTTATATAAATGATTTGAATACTTTCTAAATTTTATAATATATTCATAATTTTATGTATTTAAACTTTCCCGTATTCAAGTATTGCTATACAAAAATTAATTACATGTTCATATAATTTTCCTCTATTGTAATTGTGTACAATTTATTTTGAAAAGAACTAGAGAGGAGTTTGTTGTCAGTTTTTCTAGGCTCAAATTATATTACGAACTAATGGTATATTTAAATTCTTATAAGTATATGATAGATTTTTATTAATATACACATTTTTATTTGATCTATTCCTTCTGGATCTTTACAGACTAGATTCTGGAGAAAGAATCGCGCCACTGGTTACTCTGTTGGAAATACTTGCATTGGTGTAGACCTTAATCGCAACTTTGATATACTCTGGGGTACAGCTTCCAGCAACAGCGCCTGTTCTGAAACCTTCCACGGTAGAGGACCTGCATCAGAGCCAGAAATTGTTGCACTACAGAATATTCTCGGTGAAGATGTAAATCGAGTTGAACTGGTTCTCGATGTTCACAGTTATGGCAGCTTGATCTTATATGGTTGGGGAACTGGCCAATTACCACCAAATGGTCTTATTATTAATTACGTTGGAGTTATTATGGCTCAAGCTATAGACAGAGTTAAATGGCCAACTAATATCAATTATATTGTAGGCAATTCTTTCCAAGTACTCTATGGTTCGTCTGGAAGTACCGCTGATTATGGTCTAGCGATTGGCTCACCTCTGTCATATACTTATGAGTTACCAGCTTACAGAAACAGCGGCGGATTGAACGGCTTCCTCGTCGACCCTGACTTCATTGAGCAGGCCGGATTTGAAACTTGGGAAGGTATCAAAGAAGGAGCTAGATTTGCAAGAGATAATTTTAGAAGAAGACAAGGTCATTGATTTAAACTTGAAACTGATTTACACTATTAAGCGTCCTGCGTAATAATAAAATGCTATCTTTTTAGTTCCTCTTTTATAATTTATATGAGTGAATAATGATAACTTTATGTCTTTTTAATTTATATTATATTTATTTTGTAAATAGTATACTAAAATAAAGAAGAATATTATAATTTTGTTTTTATTATTTTGGATTTGTGAACTCTTCTACGTTAAATTTAAGATTTTCATTTTAATATTTATTTCTTTGTTATTTATACAAGTAAAAATTGTTATTGTGTTTATTTTGTTTTATTTCTAAGTCATAATATAATGGAAGAAATACATCTGTGGGTTTAAATTTCTTATTTCAAATTATAATTATATTAGTTAACATTTTTACCCTTATCGCTCGAACTACTATTATATCAGCAGCCTTCAATACCTTTATATCTATACAGCTTAAACCAAATAGGATCTTTTGTTGATAACAGCCTATTTAACACTTCATTAACAACTGATGTTCAGATAAACTACTAATTAAGATAACCTGTCTAAGAAAGTCGTAACCGACAATATAGTTCCAGCTGAAATTAAAATGAAACAAACAAATAAATGAGTATAGTTTTCTGAGCCAACACACACCTTCCTTCTAATTTATAGACTTACCAATTTTTTTACATACTCATCTGAGTATTGTACTTGTTTTATCTAATTAGGGTATATCGTCTTCTGGAAGATCTTGTTCTGAGTTCGAAGAGTAATGACTAGTCTGTGCAAGTTAAGCCTACAGAAATATTTATTTTTGTTTAGTCACATTACTTTAATAGCTTATTACATGTTATTTCATTTCCATTGTAACTAATTAGGGGAGTGCGTCCACGGAATAAAATAAAGGCTTTCTTATTTATATAGAGAGAGGTCTGGAACATGCAGCCTTAAAAAACTAATCATAAACTTGTAGTTTTTTAAAAGACGTTAATAAAGAAATCTCTTTCCAATATGAAATGTTAAGAGTTCATAAGAGAGATGGAATACAGATATCGATATAAGAAAATCCAACAATGTCTGCTTACTTCAGGTAAGCAATAAGTAAAGAAATTGTTGGATGCAAAGAAATCTCATTCCAAAATTAAGTATTAAGAGATCATAAGACAGATGGGATACAGATATAAGTATAAGAAAATCCAGCAATGTTTGCTTACTTCATGTAAGCAATAAGTAAAGAATTTGGATGCCTTCGCGTGTCGGGTGAGATGAGGGTGGGGTTGGGAGGTTCGTTCAGTGGAAAATATTGCCCCTAGCTCAGACGTGACACTGGACGCTGGCCGGCAGTGATGGGGTTCTATCGATGTCACATACTAGAAGTCCGCCGCGACATCGCCTTTTTTATTATAACTTTTTTTAGGTTCTGTTATATAAATAGAGTTTCAAGAAAAATATTGTGTTAATTCTGGGAATGATACAACTTTAAGGTGGTCCACCTCTGTTCATTCCCCGTCCAACTCAAACGAGTATCGAAATTATGACGGCCTGAGACGAGGTTTGAACCCCTAGCGGTACTATCAGACTAAAGTCGTATCCGTCAGACGGGATAAACGGGACGTGATAGATTCATGGATGGACTGAACTAACTTTGCGAAAGTAGAAGGTGAGAGTAGAGTGAAGAAGTCATAAGGCAACATTACCATTCCGGACAATATTTTCTCTTATTCTTATCTCAATTCTCAATTGAAAAATATTTTTTATAGCATGGGGGACAAATGAACTTGCAGCTCACCTGATGGTAAGTGATTATCGCCGCCCATGAGTACTAGCAACACCTAGGAAATTGCAAGAGCGTTGCCGACTTTTAATAAAGAATAAGCTCTTTTCAGGAAGGTTTCAATATCGTATCGGTTCGGAAATACCAGTGTCCATCAATGGTATTTCGGAGGTAAAATTTAAACAGTGTAAAGGCAGCTTATAATACAATTTACCTTTTATCAGGGGTGATCAACCTTTTTAATCAACAGACCAATTAAATTTATGTTTTTGGCGGGCCGCACATGATTTAATATACAAAACTTTATTTATAATGTACATTAGAAAAAAATACTGTAAAATATTTTTGCATGTATTTCCTACATGCAATACGAAAGATTTTATCTTTCGTATTGCATGTTTGAACAAGTCGCCGACAAGTGAGTAACTGGACACAAAAATTTTTTTAGTTTAGTATGGTATACCATTTTATTTGTCCCTTAGATTTTATATTGACGGTATAAAATCTAAGGGAGCTAATATTGGGATGGGCGTTCCACACAATCTTAGGCCCCTTTCTCTTTTTAATTTACATAAATGACCTTCCCTTTATGGTAGAGAAAATTGCAGATATAGTGCTGTTTGCGGATGATACTTCGTTAGTGTTTAAAATTGGACGTCAAACTAATCAAACTTAAAGACAGTACAAATAGAAACTTACGCAATAAAAATAAGCTACTTTTACCTAAATGCCGCCTGCACAAAGTCAGTAATTCATTCAATGGTAATTGCGTAAGATTTTATAATAAACTGCCAGAATCTGCACTAAATCTGACAGAGAGGCAATTCAAATCTTATATTAAACAATTTTTGTGTAAGAAAGCCTATTACAGGATAGACGAATTCATAGACGACAACATATCAAGTAAATAACTAGTTTATTAGCATACAACATTATAATTTAATTTAATTTTCTCATTGCTTTCTTGATTTAATTGATTGATTTTAGAAATATGAAAGCGTAGCGGTTTTTGTATTGATTGCCGCATGCATTCTTATGTAAAATGTGAATACTATAACTATCAGATAGCAATTGTAAGTAGCTTTGACGAAGTCTAGTGTTTTGAGTAGTCATGCTCACTAAAATGTCCAGACTTGTGGCGGCGTTGTGGGCCGGGTCATTGGGCTCCCTAAAATATGGTCGAGCGCAGTGATGGCTGGCTCATCTTTGCTCATGGCTTCATACTCGTGAACGTCTGCAGCTTGTAGGGACTGGTCTGCTCTAATCACTATGACTGATTTCCCTTATTAATTGTTTAACCAGTTGGTTATATATTCAATATTTTTTCTATTTGAGTATTTAATAGAATTAGTGCTAATTGGTGGTTTGTATTCACACACTTAAACTTAAAAATGTAAAGTAATAATAAAATTATTTAAAAGAGCAACACGCAAGTTGCTCGTTCTTCTTGTGATGAGACAGCTTTCCGAACGAGCGGTAGATTAAAAAATGTAATGACTATTCAAAAGTGCTTCAATGTAAGTTTATTTGAATAAATGATTTTCTATTCTATTCTATTAAAATACATTAATGGGAGAAAGTGAAATAAAGAAAATAAATTCAAATATAGAAATGCGGGCCGCATAGACATGTTTAACGGGCCGCAAGCGGATCGCGGGCCGCGTGTTGCTCATCCCTAATTAAAACAATCTAAAGCGGTGCTTCCAAATAAGTTATTTACCAGTTGGTAAGCGTACCCCTAGGGGTATGTGAAGTTGCATCAAGGGATACGTCAGTAAAACAAACATACACACACACTCACAAACTTTCATATTTATAATATTTGTGTTATTGCTACAATAAGGGTAACGCAAGGTTTGAGGTCTTTCTTTCTTCTTCTTCTTCATCTTTCTTCTTGAAGTGGTACGCAGCTAAAACTATTTTTGACGACCTCGGTGGCCTAGCGGTTTAGCACACCGCTTTACGTCCGATGCTCGCGGGTTCGATTCCTCGCACGGCACAAACATTTGTATTCATGAGTATAATTGTTTGTATCGGTCTAGGTGTTTTCTATGTATAATATGTATGTATTTACGAAAAAAATTATCTATGTATTTGTATCAGTTATCTAGTACCCATAACACAAGCTTCGGCTAGCTTAACTTGGGTCTAGATGGCGCTCTGTAAATAAACTGTTCTGATATATTTGTTCTGAGATTATTATTATTATTATTTGGGAACCACTGGTCTAAAGATTAATAAACAAATACAGTAAATACCTAATATGAGTAGACAGAGATTAGACCAGTATTTTATCAAAATTAATTGATTATGACTAATCAGATTAATGAATTAATCGCAACAAAAACTCTATTAACTTATCTTGATAAAACTGAATTCAATAAAGTCCATTGCACCACTTCAGCCACATTATTTGAATACAGTCGACTAGCATACGAATACAATGTTTAAGACAATATTTCTTGTGTGTTTATCTTTTTATGTTGTACTCGCAAAGCACGAGCAATATGAAGGGTAAGAATTTATTAGTAATAAATAAAATCAAAAATCATTCATTCATGTAGGACATTTTAGCCGCTTATAACGTCGAATCTTTTGTATTATAATTTTTCCCTACAGTAATATTTTTAATTGAGTTGAAAATTTACGGCCTTGGTGGTGTAGCAGTTTAGCATACCGCTTCACTTCCGATGGTCGAAGAATCGATTCCTCTCAAGGTACAAACAAAATTTGTATTAATGAGTATGATTTTTTTATCGGTTTGGATGTTTGTATATTATGTACGTATTAAAAAAATGTAAGTATTTATATCAGTTGTCTAGTGTTTATAACACAAGCTATGTTTAACTTGGGACTAGATGGCGTTGTGTGAATTGTCCAGAGTTATTTATTTTCAGTTAGATTTATTCGAAGTATAATGATCTCATAAAAACCTTGATATGACATCTTCAATTAACATAAATTGGTAGACTAAACCCATTATAGTGCAACACAAGTTATGCATCACATCTGTGAAAAATCTGATCCAATATTGGAGAAGCTGAGAAGAATTAATATGTTAATGAGTAGGACTACAATGTGTAATCAAAAGGTATTGAACTTATACTCGCAGTTAATATTATAATTATGAAACCTTATATTCTGCAACTGGTTAAAAAGAACCGAGATTCTCACGAGGTGTGTACCATTAGAAAAGGAAAGATAATTTAAAAGAGAATATTAAATTTATTAGTATAAAAGTTAATTCTATTATAAAATTACACTGTACATATAGCAATAATTAAATTGTGTAATTATATGGTTATGATTAATTTATCAATTAGACCAATAACCAGTTTTCACCTGCAATATCTCGAGATAGTACGTACGTACAAAAGATAAAAGAAGTTACTGTACTCTACAATTGTATGTAAATATCAGATAAGGTTACAATAATTTATGTTAATAAAAACCCTGGATAATTCACACAGCGCCATCTAGGTCCAAGCAAAGCAGCGCTTGTTATAGGTAATAGACAACTGATAGATACAATTAATTTTTTTTGTATATATTTAGTTCATAAGTACAAAAGAAGAAGAAGAAGATTGTTAGTAATAAGATGTAGAGGGAATATGTGACCGTCATTGCTAGAAATGTGAAACATATCTGTAACATATCAGGTCGATCTCCACGCGGTCCGTTTGGAAACCATCGTTGTTAATTCCTGATGATTCTCCACGATGAGCTAACTAATCTCATGCATGATATATGATCGTGATGATCAAGATGAGCATGCGTTCTCCACTGGTATCTCGCCAGCGTATATATATATAAATATTTGTATTGTGCTAAGAAGCCAACTCGTCATTGGACCCAAAGGAACCATTGGAATTAAAGCGGTGTGCTAGATCACTAGACCACCAAGACTGTCGATGATAGAATGAGCACATTCCTGCGGTCCCATACGCTGGGACACCAGTCGACTATGAGATGTCATTTACTCTGTATCGAATTGATCAACGTTTTCCATGGGTAACCGTGTGACAATATTTTGATGTTGACCGTGTGACAATTGATGGCTATAAGTTGCGTTATCCTTAGTGATTGCTACAATAAGGGTAACGCAAGGTTTGAGGTCTTTATTGAAGTGGTACGCAGCAAAAACTATTTTTGACGACCTCGGTGGTCTAGCGGTCTAGCATACCGCCTTACTTCCGATGGTCGCGGGTTCGATTCCTCGCACGGCACAAACATTTGTATTCATGAGTATGATTGTTTGTATCGGTCTGGGTGTTTTCTATGTATAATATGTATGTATTTACGAAAAAAAAATATATCTATGTGTTTATACCAGTTGTCTAGTACCCATAGCTTTAAGTAGCTTAATTTTGGTCTAGGCGCTGTGTGAATTGTCCTGAGATTATTTGTATTGTTATATTATTTATATTATTATTATTATAATAGCTATGAAGTGTTTGTAATCACCTTTAATGGAGGGTGGGATGGAGAACATATATATATATATATATATATACCTAGACTAAATCTCATCATCAGCCTACTACAGTCCACAGCTGGACATAGGCCTTTCCCAACGTACGCCACTGGGCACGATTTAATATTAGTAAATCACTGTAACTTGACAAAATCACAAACAAAAGCTAGTCCAAACGATATATCAAAATGATAGAAAAATTTAGTAGTCAGTTGTTAAAAAAAATTGTTTGCTAAATGTTGAAATAAAATGTTTAAATTTCATTCCAGTTACGCAGTATACGATGTAACCGTCACGACAAAGGAGGAAGGGATATTCCTAAACGATCTAGAAGAACAAATTCACATCGACATTTTATCTCATGTTGCACCAGGAAGATCAGGTCAAGTCCTCGTACCAAAAGACCAGCGAGAGCAATTCCAAGACTTACTTACTGATTCCGGCATTGAATTCAAAATTGTAACTGAAAATGTTGTTGAGTAAGTAATATGGATTGTTAATTTGTCAATTTAACTATTACACTAGTAGATATTTATTCAATTTGTTATATCAGATCTATTTTTGTGTGTGATCCATAATTCATATGTATTATTCATGAGCATGATTGTCATTATTATCACTTCTAGGTAAGTAGATGCCGCGATATATAGATATCTTTACGTGCTAGATCTATCTGTTTGTTTATAAGATTCTTTTGAGTTCTTGAAACGTAAATTGTAATTGCTTGTTAGTAGTTTATAATGAAATCCTAATTAATAATGATGTGAAGAAGTATCTCCAACATTTAATTTATACTATATAACTGTAAGATGAATATGAGTTACGAATAAGCGAAATTTTAATTAGAAAATAATCTGAATATTTGAAAGAGAATTATTAAATGACAAATTGTTAAATACATTATTAAGTTCATTGAAATTTACGATAAGTAAATTAAAAGGTGGACTTTTAGTACAATCTATGTTTAATATTATGTTAATATATGTTAAAATAATATAACATTTATTTGCATGCACTCGTATTTTACCATTTTGCTTTGTTGATTACAGAGAACTGTTGCTTGAAGATGAAAAGCTAGCCGCTGCATCGAAAACGAGCAACAAATCCAGTTCCAGAATTGGACTCTCTTTTGACACTATTCATAGATACAGTGTTGTGAGTATGTTTTTTTATTACTTTGTTTATTTTACTGAGTATAAAATTATAATATATACTCTAGTTATAGTCTTCTGCTCAATTTACCTGATCATTAATATTGACTTGAATTGGATTGACACTATGTTCTACATGGTCAATTCTGTTCTTCAATACTTATAGGATAGTAATTTTGATTTGATTTATTACCTTAGTATTAGTTTAAATTCTTGTCATATTTGATTACTTTTGGAATGAAAATATAAAACGGTAATGCAAGAGAAGAAGAGTCAAATTAGAACTCTCTAGTAAGCTGATAATAATAAAGTTTGATATCTGAACTAAGTCAGGTGTATATTTAGTAACCCAATATATTTTGATACATAAAACTTGTATACGAAATGAATAACGAAAACTGTATGAACGAAGGGCCAGTCCAAAGACCTAAAGCAACGAAAATAGAAATGCATAATCTTAAGATTAATTACACCATATGTCTTGATAATAATGGCAAGTATTTAATACTGATAGCAATGATAAAAATGAAATTGAAGTATTTTAAAAAAATGTGTTTTATAATTTTGATATTGACTCAGGAGACAGTATGGAATGAAATGGAAAAAGTAGGGACATATAGCAAAATGATTATATATTCAAAATAGGGTTTGTTTTCCAGGTCGATCAGTATCTAGTAGATTTAGCAGCAGCGTATCCTAATATTGTCACCGTGGTATCAGGTGGAAACAGTTTCGAAGGTAGAGATATCAAATACTTGAAGATTTCTACAACTAATTTCCAGGTTCGTAGTATATATATATATTATAATTAATAACACTGAAAAATTAACACAGCGCCATATAGTCCCATGTTAAGTAGAGCTTGTGTTCTGTATACCAGACAGCTGATATATATAGACGTAGATATTTTTTTTGTAAATACATACATATTATGCAAAGTAAACACCCAGGCCAACAAACAATTATACTAATAAATACAAATTTTTGTACCGTGCGAGAAATCGAATCCGCCATCAGAAGTAAAGCGATGTGCTAAACCGCTAGACTACCGAAGCCCTCAAATTTACCATACAATTTGTAGAAAATAGTGCATGGTGTAATGTCTACTAAATGTACTATTCTCTATTGTACTATGTCCATTAAAGTTATATCAATAAACGTAATAATCATATACAGAAAATCATATATATATATATAGATCTTGATTCCAATGTACATACAGTGATGGTAAAACCTGTAATATGATATCATGGATTAATACCGATTTCATAATCTGCAGAGATATCATAGAATCTGTTTAATTGTAATATGTAATCAAATCTATATCGTCTAGAATTAATTCAGCATTATCAACAGGATTTCATATTTTATTAAATCCCTGACATATGAAATTTAATTCATATTATATGTATATATACAATACATATTTTGCAGATATTTATTTTATTGTGGTTTTTGAGCTATTGTCAGGTGCTAACCTGTAACACTGCGACCTGCAGAACTCTATCGTGCTCATCCTTTTTTAAAATTCGCTACCTAGACCTGTGAGGGACATGAATTGAAAGATATTCTTAGGAGCGATGGTTTTTATCTCCTCAGGATAAAGTGTACACTTGCCAAAGGAGATATTTCGTTTATGCATGAGTAGGCTACAACCACATAAGATGTGTTGTAGCGTTTCCTCTTCTGCTTGGCAAAAAACTGCAGGTTGTTGTGAGAAACTCAGTTTTTATTGTTACTAAATGAGCTTGTATATTATTAGGGATATATAGATTTATTAAAATTCGATTAAGGAGAATATCATGACCAGCTTATGTTACAATATTTTTGTCAAAAGGAAATAGTCTTATCAGTATCGGTAATCCAAACAGACCAGTTCCCACAAGCAGCACTCGTTCACGAGTAAGACGGATTGCGTACTTATTATCTTCTATTATTCAGTTTCTTCTTTGATGGCAAGTATATGTTGTTTCAAGAGATTCTTGGACTGCTTAACTATACATATATTTCACTTTTAAATTAAATATATTTTTTCTTTTATATATACTTTTTGTCTTCGCTAACACATCGGACGTTTAAATGAAACCCAAATTTACTTTTAATATTGAATTTTAATAATTATTTTTAACAATTTTGAGGAGACCGATTGATTTTTGTAGAAGAAGAAAAAGTGAGAGAGTACAAAATAACGCAGGTACATCGAAAATAAATCCAATACGCCTGTGAACATTTAAATAGCAACTTTTTGCAGTTAAAATAGATTGCGTTCAAGAGTGTTGAAGGAGTGCCAGAACACTTTTTGTTTTTTAGTATTAATTTATGAAATATATTTTTTTAGGATAGAAGTAAGCCCATCGTGTACATTCAATCACTTCTACATGCCCGTGAATGGATCACACTCCCTGCAACCTTGTACGCTATTGAGAAGCTCGTCATCGATGTAGTGGAACAGGATCTGCAGCAAGATATTGACTGGATCATCGTGCCTATTGCTAACCCTGATGGATATGAATTTGCTCACACCAACGTAAGTCGAGTCTAATTATTTATTTCTCGTTTTCAAATCAACACATAAATCATAAACTTTGATTACTTGGGCACCTAAATCTGTTTTTTTTTTATTGGGTTGTTTGGACTATTGTCAGATGTGTAGCACCTGTAGCACTGCGACCTACATAGATCTATTATGCTCGCCCTTCTCAAAGTTCGCTACCTAGACCCGTCAGGGACAAGAATTGAGGGATATTCTTAGGAGCGATGGTTTTTATCTCCTCGGGAAAGAGTGTAAACTTTCCAAAGAAGATATATCTGATAATATTCTTGTCAATGTACGAGCTTTTAAGACAAAATTAAAATCTACTACTTCTTGCATACCAGCGATAATTTCTATCTTTTATATATTTATCATTTTTTACTTACAACCTTTTGTACTTAATAGTGTAAAGCTGCAACTTTGCAAAATTTTGAATCTACTTAACAAAAATATAAAATACTAGCTGTGCCAGCAATTTCAATAGCTTATTTGTTAATCGGATATATAAGCTATATTATTGTAAAGTTTCAAATCCGTACAGTAGTTTTTATGTGTAAGAATAACAAACATCTATCTATCTCACAAACGTTCGCGTATATAATACATATTAGTAGATTATAATTGGTTTTATAGTTAATACAAGTTTGTACGCATTAAAACTTTTACCATTTCCAAAACCAATATTGGATTAGTTTTTAAAAGACGTACATGTTCAATTTCAGGATATTTATATAAAACTATTGCATTAACGATTTATTACATTTTCTTTTTAAATATGGGTTTATGTAAACTTTATTTCATTACTCTTACCACTCATAATACAAGTAAATAGAAAATGTTAAAAATAATTTAAATTAATATTTACAGACTAGGTTCTGGAGAAAGAATCGGGCTACAGGTTACTCAGTTGGAGATACTTGCATCGGTGTTGACCTTAATCGCAACTTCGATATCCTCTGGGGCACAGCTTCCAGCAGCAACGTCTGTTCTGAAACCTTCCACGGCAGAGGACCTGCATCGGAACCAGAAATCGTTGCACTTCAGAGTATTGCTGGTCAAGACGCAAATCGTGTTGAACTCTTCCTCGATATCCATAGTTACGGTAGCATGATCTTATTTGGTTGGGGAACTGGTGCTTTACCGCCAAATGCTCTTGTTATTAATTATGTTGGAGTTCTTATGGCCCAAGCTATAGATAGAGTGAAATGGCAATCAAATATTAATTATATTGTGGGTAATACTTTCCACGTGCTGTATGCGGCCTCTGGTAGTGCTGGTGATTACGGTTTAGCGATTGGATCACCTCTGTCATATACTTATGAGTTACCAGCTTACAGAAACAGCGGCGGTTTGAACGGTTTCCTTGTAGACCCTGATTTCATTGAGCAGGCTGGATTTGAAACTTGGGAAGGTATTAAGGAAGGAGCTAGATTTGCACGAGATAATTATAGAAGAAGACACGGTTATTCTAATTAATTCATTAAATTATTAAGTAATAAATTTGCTATGTATTAGAATAATAAAATACTCTGTTGCATTGAATTAAAGTTTGGTGTATTATTTGTCCATTTGTAATTTTTTCTGTGATAGCATCATTTGTTTTATTTCTTTATTTTCTTGTCTGAAATATGGTCTACCGCATCACGGGGAGTGTTCTGAGACTGACACTCTAGTTATATAAAAAAAATAGACATAAATAGATATCGATGAGAAAACCATTGTCCCATCACTATTCGTCGAACATTCTAGAAATGCAGTGAGTACACGTCCTATGAGTTCGAATATGTCAGGCCTAAAGGAAACTACAAATTCTAATACATTATCCAACTGAGTTCTAGTAAAACACTTAAAACAAAAAATAAAATAAATTATTTTATCTGTTACAGAAATAAAATGTGTACTTAATAAGTTTATTATTGATAAACTATTATATAACTCGTAACTGCTGAAAATATTACTGTTTTTTTTTCATTAAATTTTTGCATATAATAATAATAATCTTAGGACAATTCACACAGCGCCATCTAGACCCAAGTTAAGCTTGCTAAAGCTTATGTTAAGGGTTCTAGATAAACGATACAAATACCTACATAGATCTATATATATATATATATATATTCATAAATATATATATTATATATAGTAAACACCCTTATGAGTTGACAAATGTTTATGCCGTGCGAGGAATCGAACTCGCGACCATCGAAAGCAAGGCGATGTGCTAAACTGCTAGACCCCCGAAGCCGTCAATATAATAAAATTGACTTCGACGCAAGAAGTATGTTTATGATTTATGCAATTAACTGTACAATAACTTCCTGATAGAGCAAACAAAATTAGAATTGTAGCTGAAACTGGGATATAGAAAGGAAAAGAAAAACAGACTCGACCCATTGGCTTTGCGGCGTAATATTGCATCTCTGCGCATTTTCTACCGCATATATCACGGGGAGTGTTCTGAGGCATTGTTCGGATTAATACCAGCTGCTGAGTTTCACCACCGTACTACCCGCCAGAAACTGAAATACCATCCTGATCATCTGGATGAATGGCGGTCTTCCACAGTGCGGTTTTCTAGAAACTTTTTGCCTCGCACAACCACATTATGGAATCACCTTCCAGCAATGGTATTTCCGAACCGATACGATATTGAAACCTTCAAGAAAAGAGCTTATTCCTTTTTAAAAGGCCGACAACGTACTTGCGATTCCCCTGGTGTTGCGGGTGCTCATGGGCGGCGGTAATCACTTACCATCAGGTGAGCCGCATGCTCGTTTGTCCCCTGTGTTATAAAAAAAAAAATACTAAAAATATTCAATTAATTTTGCGTTTTATTCTTTTGATATTTTGTTTCGTATATATATATATATATTTATTTAATAGGTCACCAACAAGGTGTATACCAACACAGTTACAGTATATATAATACATTACAATCTATTTTTATATCATATATATATATATTATTTATATCATATTATACTAAGTGCAACCTTAATGCAACTACGACATTTATGTGACAAATTTGTGCTTACAATTAACAAAACATAAAAAACAACTTAGAGTTCTACCTAAAAAAAAAAGTTTTAGCTGTGTGCCGCGTTACATTTCAGTATATAAATTTCAATCAAAAACATAGCCTATATGTTATTCTGTAGCATAAGCTATATTACTGAAGTTGAAAATCAATGTTTTGTTCTTTGAACAATGTTCCACGCTGAGCTTTGACGTTTTTGTATTACTGCAGATCACACATAACGACACAAATTTGTAAACCTTATGTCGTACTATGTATTGTCTATATTTATGAACATGTAATTGTATGTGATTAGTAACAATCAAATAAACGATATATCTATCTATTACTGTATAGTTTCACCACAATCCGTTCAGTAGTTTTTGCGTGAATGTGTAACAAATGTCCATACTCAGAAACTTTCTCGTTTATAACATTAATGAGATAAATAACTATTTTACGACTGGAGTCTTTCTAATAGTCAACAAATCGACATCGCTGAGAGTTACTGTAATAACCTCGAAAACTAAAGTTGCTTTTATAAAGAGCATCGAGGAGTTTTATCTCGGTATATTAAATCTTGCGGCCACCCTCGTTCTGAGGGTGTTTTAAAATTAGATTTTCCCTTTGCCAAGGGGTGGACACTGATCAATTTTCGATTCGGGAAATCTTAAAGCGATTTGATTGAAACCCACAACATTATTGTCTCGAATTCGGATTTCGAGCGGGAAAATTATACCAAAGATTGTTAAAATGGAATTCGGATAGTCGATTAACTTTTGGTTGTGTTTAGCGAGTTATGTAACTGGTTCAATATTGGTTTGCGGCATATAATCTAGTTAGGATAATCTATTACAGTTAAGGTTTAGTGGTTTACTACCGTGAATTACGTCCAACAGGTCGTGAATTCAGATTTGACCGAAGCTAACAATAAAATGTGCGTAGTAAGAATAGAATAGAATAGAAAATAATTTATTCAAATTAACTAAATTTAGGCACTTTTGAATAGTCATAGTTATCATTCTTTTAATCTACCGCTCATTCGGAAGCTGTCTCATCTTTAAAATTCTTATATCGCGCAATACTGAAAGACATATGGTAGTTTCATTAGTTCCTTATTAATAATGAATGAGCGTTTCGAACAGACACTATTCTTGTAGAGATCTCTAAGGTTTCCTTGAAAATAGCAATTTCCTCTCCATTATTGTGACCATTTATTGAAATTGAAAGAATTGTTAAAGTTGTTTAACTATTTTTATTGTATTCATTTTAAACAAACAAATCAAATCTTTCGCCATTACAACGTTAATTTAAATTATCGGCAGCAACTGAAACAGCTCGCCACACATCTTCAACGATGTCTACAATATCTCCCGCTGGTATATTAACACCATTGTTTGTGTCCTGTACAATGTCTATATTATATGAATATCTAACTCCTTTACTTCTAGCATAATCACTGGCTGTTCCAGAAGTGGGATCGATATTGACAGAAGCCACACCTAATTTGTAATCTCCTTGCATCGCGTCAATTATTTCAAGACCTAGCAAATGATTAGATATAAATAATCCACTGGCTGCTCGTTCGTAATACCATGGGTAGGATATAAATCCTCCGTTGTTTTGAAGTGAGATGTAAAGATTAATTCTTGATTCATTCTCGTCTATTATGGATTGGAGCAATCTACTTTCAGGCTCCGAGGAAGGTTCCAGCCCTCCGTAAAGGTGGCTGCATGCACTTGTGCTTGTTCCCGACAATCGCCATTCAAAGTCCAAATTTCTGTTTATGTTCACACCTGGACACATAAAGTTGAGATTGTCGAGATTTCTTACAGTTCTGTTTTTAGTCCAGTACCGTCCCTGGAAATAATAATATTGTATATTAATCTCAAAACAATTCACATAGCGCCTGCTATAGCTTGTATTATGGGTACTAGATAACTACTACAAATAAAAATACTGTTTAAATGATAATCATACACATTATAGAGTGCCTCGGTGGTCTAATGGTTTAGCACACCGCCTTACTTCCGATGGTCGCGGGTTCGATTCCTCGCACGGCACAATCATCTGTATTCATGAGTATGATTGTTTGTATCGGTCTGGGTGTTTTATATGTATAATATGTATGTATTTACGAAAAAAAATACTATACTAGTAGTAGTTATATCAGTTATCTAGTACCCGTAACACAAGATTTAGCTAGCTTAACTTGGGACTAGATGGTGCTGTGTTAATTGTCCTGAGATTATTATTATTATTAATAATAATAATAATTATTATTATTACTTTTGTAGACATGTACAAGCATATTTGAAAGGAATAAGAGCCGAGTTTCTTGACATTTCTTCTTAGCTCTCCGAACTGACGGTAGTTTTGGACATATCATAAGAGTCTGTAATAGACCTACATGCATACAGATATTTTGATTTTGATATATTAACTGTTACTCGTGACTTCATCTGCAAGAAGAACGAGCAAGAAACTTGTATGTTTGTTGGCTCAGCTAATGCGTGCCTATATATTTATTACAATTATATTGCAAACTCTTTGCACATGTTTATAAATTTATTTTTCTGCTATTTTTAAATGTATTTTCTATATAGAATTGTTATAGATTTTGTTTGTACCTTCATTATAAATATTTACCATTTTCCATGCATTCTTTGGTTTGTATCACGCATACTGTCTGGTCAAAATCTACCCTATACTCGTTGTATGCACAGATTATTATATTACAGACCGTTAGTTTCTGTCCCACCATTTGCTCCCTTACCTTTTTTAAAATCTATATTTATTTTAGAGTTTTTGTTTTTGAACATGTCAATCCCATTATTACAAACTAACTCTCTTATGATAGTACGGATCGCCTTGTCTCGCCTTCTCTAATTATAATAAAAAAAATATTACAAAATGAGTGCAATAGTGCGTGAAAGTAAGTGAAAATGTGGCCTGGACACTGGCCTGTATTAAAAAGCCTAGTAAACCCTATGAGAAGCATACAGTTTCGAGACGGACGCTTGCTCAAATATAGTGTTTTCATCATCATCATCATCATCATCGCAGCCCGGAAGACGTCCACTGCTGGACATAGGCCTCCCCCAAAGATCTTCACGACGATCGGTCCTGCGCTGCTCGCATCCAATGCCTTCCCGCGATCTTGACCAGATCGTCGGTCCACCTTGCTGGAGGCCTTCCCACGCTGCGTTTGTGTTAGTGTTTTGCCTTACATTAATTCTATCACCCACAATTCGATTATTTCTACTCACAGTTGAGTGTGTATATTCATATCCATCAGGATTAACAACAGGAACTATTATCCATTCAAAATTATTTAAAAATCTTTGCTGATCACTCTCCAACAGTTTGTTTGCAATATTAATTGCGGCCGGTACAGTAATCCAATCCCGTGGATTTATTGCAGCTTCAATTACTACTAATGGTTTAGTGTCATCAAGTACATCGTTCCTATTATTGATTTGTAGATAAACTAGAGGTCTATTCTCTTCAGTATAGTCATATTGTATTACCCGGAACGATATATCAGGTGAATTTCCGTACGTTTCTTCTAGAGCATACAAATAGGTTAAAATCTGGAATAGAAAAATTCTAAATTAATATAACTTCATATGTTATTTGAATATATGACGAACGTGCATGGCAATAGCAGTTCATGCACGGGATTTTCACTTAATGCTAGACATAGACACCATACACCTACATTAGTACACAATGTGTAAATAAACTAGTTATATAACTAAAAAAAAAGAAATTGAGTCGAGTTTCTTGCCAGTTCTTCTCAATTGAATCTGTATACTGAACTGGACGGTAGGGGACAAAAATATTAATACAAGTAAATTTACGTTCATAAGCGGTCATAATGTCCTACAAGAATAAATTATTTTTGATTCAATTCGGTGTTCTGGCGGTTTAGCACGCCGCCGCCGCTTTACTTCCGATAGTCACAGGTTTGATTCTTCGTACGGTACAAACAATTGTATTCATGAGTATTATAATATGTAGTATTATAATTGCATTCATAGTTATTTGTATCGAAAAATAAAAAAATTTACAATATCAGTTTTTTAATAACATATGATCTTAGATTATTGCTAACTAGCTGTACCCGCGACCTTGTCCGCGTGGAATTTAAGTTTATTTATCTAAAATAGAAGAAATTTTCTAAAATAGAAGTTGCCTAAATTTCTTCTTATTACCTCAGCTATATGCTAATAAAAGTCCTGTCAAAATCGGTCCAGTCATTTGAGAGATTAGCCGGAACAAACACACCGACAGGCAGACAGACAAAAATATTATTTTGGTATATGTACCGTATATATATTCATAGGCATGTAGTAAAAAACGGTTATTTCAATATTACAAACAGACACTCCAATTTTATTTATATGTATAGATCACTAGCAGATCCGGCCGCGCGTTGCTATGGCTAACAATTTCTTTATATACAAAAATAATTTACTATAAAATAATATTGCGACTATAAATTGAGATGTAAGCTAGCCTATCTTTCAAGTTGGATCAAATTGCTCACAATGTGCAAATCAAATTTGCAATCGGTTTAGTATTTTAAGAATCTATCGCGGACGAACAATGTTACAGGTAATTTATATATATATATATATATAAAGATATTTTTATATATTATTAATACCACTATTAGTAGATAATTGAGTTACCTCATCGTAACGGTAATAATTGTCAAAACTGAATGCCCTTCCGTTATCTGATCTTGATAAATCCGTTGTTTCCTTCTCTTTATCAGCTAAATGTCTGAAATGTTTGGTAATAATATGGTTATTATATTTAAAGCATTAATAAAATACTTGTAATTATAATATATTATCACAATTACTGAAGGTATACTTTGTACAAAGTTAATATGTTTTTATGTTTATATATATATGTATTTATGTATATTGAAATTAAAACTATATACATATTATCATATAACTAGTATTTACATAACCTAATTGTACAACTAAGAACCTAAAATAAAAAGCTTAAAAAATATATATATATATATAATATGATGACTAAAGTATATCATTAAAAGGGGTCCCTTTAGGCAACGTTCCGAAGATACTGGCAGCGTTCCCTCTTTGAATAGCTAGACTAATTCTTTGTCCAAGGTAGCTGCCAGCTCTTCGGTCTTCTGTGAATGATATATATGTTTATATATCATTCCGAACTGACGGTAGAATTTGACATATCATAAGAGTCTGTAATAGACCTACATGAATAAAGATATTTTGAATTTGAATATATGTACATCTTACTAATAGTATAAATGCGAAAGTTTGTAAGTATGGATGGATGTTTGTTACTCTTTCAAGCAAAAACTACTGATTAAACTTTACAGTAACATAGCTTATACATCAGAATAACATATAGGCTTAAGAATATATTATGTATATAATTAGGCGATATATTATAATATTAAGTGTGATGCAGACGAAGTCGCGCGGGTCATCTAGTATATATATATATACTAGTTGCTAGGGGATGAAAGTTTGTATGAAACTTTGTCATTATTAAGCCGATCGTGCTGAGACTTTGCCTGCATAAAGCATACTATGACGTAGGCATCCCCTAAGAAAGGATTTTGATAAAATCCACCCCTACGGGGACAAATTAACGCGAGCGAAGCCGCGAGCAAAAGCTAGTGTAATATAAAAATATTACTGATAATGATAAAATCGCTTATCTTGACATTTTGCTATCTATGAAATTACTAAATGAGGTATGTAACCAAAGAGAGGGCGTGTCGCCTTTCCGTAATAACCGACTTCGTAAAGAAAGACATGATAATGATTATGCATTATTTTTTTTTATTTTTTTTTATAACTCTTTATTGCACCTTAAAAACAATCCAAAAAAAAAAACAATATTCATAATGTACAGAAAGGTAGGCTAGGCACAAAATTGTAATTTATATAAATCTTTACATAGTATAAAATGAAGTTTTTAGATACAGATAGAGCGGATTGAAGACGAAGTTTACTGTGTATAATACAGCGAAAACGGGGCGGAAAACTGAAGTTTTTTTTTTTATATCATAATTTGAGAGCGTTTGACCGCAATCTCACCTGATGTTGAGTGATGATGTGGTCTAAGCTGTTACATGCAAGCTCAAATAATACCTATTCACTCTTGACTTAAAAGACCCAATGTTGTAAGAGGCAGGAAAAATAGACGCTGGTAGAGAGTTCCACTCCTTAGCTGCTCGCATAAGGAAAGATGATGCAAAACGGTTAGTTCGAGCAGCTGGGATGTCAATAGTGTAGGGGTGGAGCCGCTCTCTACGTCTTGTTGAAGTGTATGTTTGTAATAATAAATTAATAACTTTTCGCTAAATGCATATGAAAGTGTATACGAAACTTACATACAAAAATATAATTTCAAATTTTCTGTCCTTCTTTTTATTCTGCTAATCTCTGAAGGGGCTAGATCAATTTTGACGGGACTTTCACTCGCAGGTAGCTACTGTTATAAGTGATAATCAATGTTACTTTTATTTAAGAATTTTTATTTATTTCGCGGACGAAAATTAATAAGCGGTAATAATAATAATATTCTAGAACAATTAATACAGCGCCATCTAGTCCCAAACCAACTAAAGCTTATAGTAATGGTACTGAAAAACTGATATACCTGTAGTTTATTTTAGTATTTTCTATGTACATTATGTTTGTATTTAACAAAAATGTAAAATGTACCTGTATCAGTTGTCTAGTACCCATAACACAAGCTCAGCTTAGCATGGGACTAGATGGCGCTGTGTGGATTATATTTTTATTTATTTATTAAATCTTTTATGCATATATACACAAATATAGATGCATATGGCGGACTTAACACCATGAGGCATTTTCTCCCAGTCAACCACTGGGCAAACAGAGATATAATATAATAACTAGATGCCCCGGCAATCGTTGTTATTGCCTTAAAATAAGATAAAAAAAATTAGGGGTGGACTACCCCTAACATTTAGGGGGATGAATAGATGTTGGCCGATTCTCAGACCTACTCAATACGCTCACAAAATTTCATGAGAATCGGTCAAGCCGTTTCGGAGGAGTATGGGAACGAAAACTGTGACACGAGAATTTTATATATAAGATAATAATAATATGTTTATTCATTTTTACACAATATCATTCATTTATAGGCCGTAACATCTGTGCTAAAGAATCCCTGTGGTACAGATGTTATTTCCTTCCACAATGGTTGGTCCAATTACACAATTTTTACGTAGCTTTTGTACGATGGATGTGGGCAGTGCATGTGAAACAAAAATAATGTAAGTATACCATTTAAAATAACAATATATAAAAAATATTATAAACTAGTCCATAATTATACATAATACATAACATTAAATAAATAATTGCTCATGTACTCAATATTTATATATATATATATATAATATGAATTTGGTAATGATGGTTGATTTTAAAGCGGTTTTCTTTAACAGATAGAGTGATTCAAGCGGAAGGTTTATGTATACATTCTACATATATATATATACAAGAGTAGCCAGTTATGTATAAATAAAAAAAAACAGTAATAAACAAGACACAGAGGTAACAACGGGCGGCCTTATCGTTAAAAAGCGATCTCTTCCAGGAAATCTTAAATTAAAAATTTTGTTATTGTTATTGAATAAACATTTCCGTGAGCATTATTAAAGTATTTAACTTTCAGACTAACATAATCTTATCTAAGTTTATTTACAATTCAAGAAATAAGTAACGGGTAGGTATACATAGTCATGGTATTTGTATTGAAACATTTATTAACTAGCTGTACCCGCGACTTCGTTCGCGTGGAATTCAACTTTATTTTTCTAAAATAAAGGTTGCCTAAGTTATTCCTTACTACATAAGCTACCTGCCAAAAAAACGCCCGTCAAAATCGGTCCAGCCAATTCAGAGATTAGTCGGGACAAACAGACAGAGAAATAATATTTATATTCATATGCATGTAGTGAAAAACGGTTATTTCAATATTACAAACAGACACTCCAATTTTATTTATAATAAATCCATTTATTGCCAACATCAGCACAGTTACACAGTTACACATTTATACATATTTAACATGATTGTAACTCAGCTATTGCTGGACTGATGGGCGTCCAGCTCTGGTTTTCAGTTTGTACCTACGCAGGCGTACCTAATCACACGTGCTAGAAACAATACCACAACATAATGAAATAAAAATTTAACAAATTAATACATAAATAATAATAATATCCATACGGATTCACACGTGACATGCATGCAATGCATGTGTATCTACACAAAAAAAAAAACACATTTTATGTCGAGATTTGTCGCCGCTATCCAAGGGCTGTCTCTGTCTATCTAATATAATTTTCCTTAAAGAGTTTTTATATGTATAGATTCAAGAAATAATAAGTATCATACATATTGTTAGGGAAACTACTCTCTGCTACCAAAATGTTAGGGAATTTACTATGTATATGTATAGGGAAAAATAGGTGGAAGCGTCAGTCACGTACCTGTATGGTTCTGCGGATTTCTTGGGCTTCAGGGTCTCGAAGATATCGTCGCTAGCTTTCCAGTTTCACAGTAGGTTTCACAGTTCTAATTTATTTTAATTCACAACATAATGCGCGCGCGCGTCAAGGCCGCTGTCCGGTCAGTTCAGTACTGTAGGTAAGGGAGGGAAACAGAAACCGCGGGAACACAAACTAACGGACTCTAATATAATAATCTGTGCTTACGATGGTACAGGGTAGATTTTGAATACATATAATCATGATATTTGTATTAAAATATTTATTAATTGCACCAATGTATGTATTAATACGATAATTTACTATCATAACGGATTAGAAATGTCATGACAATCGCGTGACCGACTCGTTGATATCCGAACAAACAACAAATTATACATACTAGCTTTACACGCGACTTCGTCGGCGTGGAACTTAACGAAATAGTTGATTAGAGAATTTGTCTAAAATAAAAGTAGCCTAAGTTACCCCTTATTGTATCAGCTACCTGTCAAAGAAAGTCTCGTCAAAATCGGTCCAGCCATTTCGGAGATTAGTCGTAACAAACAGACAGACAGACAAATAAGTTATTTTAGTGTAAGTAGCAACATATTTATATTCATATGCATGTAGTAAAAAACGGTTATTTCAATATTACAAACAGACACTCCAATGTTATTTATATGTATAGATTAGCAGAATGATATCTTGTTAATATTATAAATGCGAAAGTTTGTTAGTATGGATGAATGTTTGTTACTCTTTCACGCAAAAACTACTGGACGGATTTTGATGAAACTTTCCAGTAACATGGCTTATACATTTGAATAACATATAAGCTAAAAATATTAAGCGGGCGAAGTCGCGTGAATAGTTACTATATATATATATATATACTAGCTGTCCCGGATCTGTCTAGGAGTACGGTAACTAAAGTTTACGGTTTAAAACGTTGTTTTACTTTTTAAGAAATTAAGTTGAGTTTCTTGCCAGTTCTTCTCAATTGAATCTGTATACTGAAGTAGAGCAACCCGTAAGAGATATCACAGGCGTCACCTGATAACCTGATATCCGTAGTGCTTTTACGTACATAGGGCACGGTTATCACTTACCATCATCGTTTATATATTTTTTTCTATACCGACTCACTGATGGTAACGGCGAGTAAGTACCGCTACTCATAAGCATCTGTAACACCATAGGAATTGCTAATGCATTGCCCTCCTTATAAGAACAAATAAACTGTTTTCTTGATGGTTTGAATATCGTATCAGTTCGGAAGTACCATTGCTGAAGGGTCATTTTTTTATTAAGGGTTTTGGGCTATTGTCTCGTGTTAAGACCTGTAGTACTGCAAGCTACATAGATATGGTACAGGTAAATATTCGCACCGTTTCTTCTCAATTTACAAACTCAAACTAGCTTTTGCCTGCGGCTTCGCTCGCGTTAATTTAACCCCTTAGGGGTGGAATTTATCAAAATCCTTTCTGCCATGCCTACGTCATAGTAGCTTTATGCAAAGTCTCAGTCCGATTTAAAATTGACAAAGTTTCATACAAACTTTTATCCCCTATTTTAAATTTCATCCTTAAGGGGATATTAGGGGTGGAATTTATCAAAATCCTTTCTTAGGTGATGCCTACGTCATAACATCTATCTCCATGCCAAATTTCAGCGCGATTCGTCTTGCACGGTTCCGGTTTGGGCTGTGCATTGATAGATCACGTCAATCACTTTGAGTTATATATATTTAGATAATAAATAACCCAGGACAATTAACACGGCGCCATCTAACCCTACGGTAAGCAGAGCTTGTGTTGTGGATACTAGACAACTGGTATAAATACTTAGATTATTTTTTGTAAATACATACATAATATACAAAACAGCCAAACCGATATGAACAATCATAGTTATAAATACAAATGTTTACAGTTTGTACTGTGCGAGAAATCGATCCCGCGACCATCGGATGTAAGGCAGTGTGTTAAACCGCTATACCATCGAGGCCGTCGAAAAATAAAACAAACTTACTCATATAAGTCCTCTATATGAACATCCACGGCGACATCCAGTTCTTTAAGTCTTCCTTCAAACCAGTCCACTCGTGCTGGCGGCACCATAGCGAGACCAGAGACTTGGTTCTCCAGAGATGGGTATCTCCAGTAATCAATGAGATCGTCTTTTATCGAAGCGAAGTTATCTTGTTGTATTTGGGCATGAAATGCCACGTTGTACACTTTGTAGCTGTAAAGTAAGAAAATGGCAAATTTATACCTGTTTTTTATACATCCGTAATAGAATCCGTATATTCTTCTTCTACAAAGTGAGTTAGAGTGAATTTCGATCCCCAATCGATCGGAGGGCAACGATGGGTTACCCCTCCGATCTGCAGTGCATCAGGGATGTTCGCACACTACAGTATAGACCAGTGTTTCTCAACGTGGGGCCCAGGAGGAGCAGGAGGGAAATTTGATTGTTAAGAGAGGTAATTCAAAGATGGGCTCTTTATTAAAACTTATATGGAAAGATATTTTAATAATTTATTTACTTACTGTTTTATTAACAATTTCCTAGTGATTTCTTCCTAAAATATTAAATATTATGTATGTTACATTGTGAAGGAAGGATTTTAGAAAGGCTAAGTTGGGGATATAGCTTTAAAAAGGTTGGGAAACACTGGTATAGACTATTTTACGCTACAATACGAAAAGGATGCGCATCCCTAGTGCGGAGTGTTAGTACCAACAGCATCCTGAGCATGATTGCGGGCAGACTGGACCTATATCAATCACTTCTATGGAATTGCCTGCCAGCAGGCTGGACCTATGTATATTCCATTGGAAATTGCACAGCGGTGATTTTTACTGTTATTTTTATTTTAATTTTTGTGTGCGTAATTTGTGTCTTCATTTACTAACATTAGCTCTAAGAAAACTGTAATAGTAACAAAATAGACAAAACGGCCTGAAATAAATAAATAATTATTATTATCATTATTTACCATCAGCTTACTAGATATGTTATAAAATTGAATGAAAACTACGTACATAGATTTAATCTACATAAACACACGGGGCATATATCACTTGAATACACGTTCACGTTCTTACAAATATACATACTCTATTAGCAATGTACTATCGTAACAGATAATCTAACAATCAATTATATATAATCATGTACATATTCATCATCATCATCATCATCGCAGCCCGGAAGACGTCCACTGCTGGACATAGGCCTCCCCCAAAGATCTCCACGACGATCGGTCCTGCGCTGCTCGCATCCAATGCCTTCCAGCGATCTTGACCAGATCGTCGGTCCACCTTGCTGGAGGCCTTCCCACGCTGCGTCTTCCGGTCCGTGGTCGCCACTCGAGGACTTTACTGCCCCAACGGCCATCTGTCCTACGAGCTATGTGCCCTGCCCATTGCCACTTCAAAGTCGCAACATATTCATAATTTCTATATATATTGTATTTGCACATCGAATATCGGAATGGTTATACACTCGTTATTGTAAGATCTGATTTAAAGGTTGAGATAGGGCAGTGAAATTATTAGGCAGCGCCCAAATCAAATAACTCCAGAGGCGAGTAGGTAGAAATAGATCGCCCTAACACCGAAATGGGGCCTGCTGTTATATCAACAGATTGTTAACTAGACCAAAGGGCGTTCGATATTACTGGCCACCAATAAAAATTTTGGCCACTTACATGAAAAAAAAAAGATTGAAAATTAGAAATAAGATTTTATTTGTTAAAATCTTAATACAATCAGTTCCCTAACTAAACCAAATGGGCTTTCCACAATACTGGTCATCAATAAAAATTCTGATCATTTAAATTAAAAAAAGAATTCCATTGAAAATTAGAACTGTGATAAGAAGGATACTCCGAATTTATTATCTAAACGAGATCTTAGTATAAGCAGGTTGTATCAACAGCTTGTTAATTAGAGCAAAAGACGTTTGACAATACTGGCCAGGAAGAAAAATCGTATTAGTATTTAAATAAAATAAAGAATCAAATTGAAAAATGGAACTGGAACATTAAGATAGCTCCAAATTAACTATTTGAACACAATCCACAGCTTGTTAACTAGAGCAAATACAATTACAACAAGGCGTTTTACAATACTGACGTTAAAGAAAAATCCTACAGCGCTGTATTGGTGCACCTCACTGAGGTTATAATTTTATTAGGAAGAGCTGAGACAGCTCCTGTTCATCATTATCATCATCATCTGCTTCTTACTTTTCCCTTTTATTTGGGGTTAATTATTGTGTATACTTTTTAATTTGTTAATCTTTGGCAATAAATGTTCTATTTGTCTATCCATTTTAAATAAGAAAATATTTGTTTTAATATAATTGCTATTAGTAACTTGACACTCTTGATTACGTGGTCATTAAGCTATACTACAATAAGTCGGTACATTTCTTAGCAAAGATTTTTTGTTACTTTGCTTTCCTACACGACATTATATTTCTCCTTCCACTAAATTCACTCTGCTTCAGAATAAAAAATATTCTGAAGAGTGGAAGGAGAAATCATTCTCTTTTTAAACAGTTCACCGCCTCTTTCTTAGTTCAGATTCGTAATCAAATAGGCTGCTTGATATTACTAAAATCTAAAACGGGACCTATAACTGGAATATCAAATTTCATTTCGTGCTGTACATTTATATAAGTGACGGTTACCACTTACCATCAAGTCTGCTATCAGCTATTGCCGTTTCAATTAATAAAATAAAATTTAGAAGTCAAAAATATCAACGGTATGAAACTTACTTCTTATATTCTTCATTTTTAGCAAACACTGACGTTAAAAAAAATAATACACTAAAATGGAGTAACATGGTTTCTGTTCAGTGTTTACAGCTACAATAAAATACTAATAACTATTTGTGCATATTGATTATAAAAAAATCTGAGATAAGAATCAATAAAATGATATTAGTTTTATCAAGACACGTCATTATGAACAACAAATTTGTCGCACCTTTATAATGGGTCATAATTTTTTTAGCTCGTGGTACAGTGGTTTACTAACGGCTTCAACCCTAAAGACTAAGACTACGAATCGTTGATACAAGAGGAAAAACTGTAACCACAATTTATTTTTTACTAACTACAAATTTTTACTGATATAAAACACTGCTTGTTGGTAGGAACCTGGACCACAAATACTTTGAAGCTCGGGTTGTGACTCGATTCCAGCTGCGTCACCCTCAGGTTCAGGTTGCTCTTCGTGCAGATGTAGTCGACAATGTCCTGCTCCTTGGTGTCGTAGTGTAGGCGGGACAGGTACATTGCCGTAGTCGGTGTTGCGGCACGCAAGAAGTTGGGACCAATCGGTTCAGTGCCACAATGGTTTCGATTGACCCTCTTTGTGCGCCTCTTATTTTGTACTATGACAAAACCATCATCGTCACGGTCAACAGACTTAGCGCACATAGGGGCCATATTCAGAATCACTTTAGGCGCATACCTGTGTTCAGTTGGTGCATGTTATTACTTATAGACGACAGTGACGTGGAGTGTAGTTGCGAAGACACGGGATTTTCTTTATAGATAGATAAGCTGTCGGCCCCGAGTATGCACGGGTGTACATATATCATAGAAATAGAAATAGAAATAATCTTTATTCAAATAAACTCATTACAAGCACTTTCGAATAGTCATATTTTGATTCTACCACTCATTCGGAATGCAGATTCATCACAAGAAGAATGAGCAAGAAACTTGTGTGTTGCTCTTTTTAATAGATGTTTTTTTTATATAAATAATTACAGTGTAATAAGTAAGAGGCATGCGAGAATCAACATAGAAATCGCTACGCACTCTTATTAGTGTAATCAGATAATATTACACTAATAAGAGTGCGTAGCGATTTCTATGTTGATTGTCGCATGCCTCTTACTTGTTACACTATACATACATCTATACGTTCCTCTATCTACCCTCTCTATACATTGTTTAAAAATACTTAATGCATTTATATAATTTTGTTTAATTCTGCTACCATTTGTGCATCATAAATATTCATTATGGAAACATGACCACCGCTAAGAGAAGCGTTACGACTTACTCTATTGGTGATCAAATTCCAACGGTTATTGAATTTACCATATTGCGACAGTTTGGTCCCCGAACAGTCTACACTAGGCTTCCAAGCTACATCTGAGCTATATTCATTGTCTGTTGATCTCATATAGAGGTGAAACACTTGTTTAGATTATTTCAATTTGTGAAGACTTCTTCAGGAGTATGAAGGGTTTCTTTATGGCATATTGCGTAGTTACTGTGTATTATTTTATATTGTATATTTTATTTTATATGTATATTAATAATTATATATATATATATATATATATATATATATATATATATATATATATATATGTGTATATATATGATATATTACTTTTTTTATTTATGTTTATTCATTCCATCTTGCGCCATCCACCATCTGTCTTTTCTCCTCTACCCAAAGATTGTCTGGAAGAAATCGCTTAAGCGATGAGACCGCCTTTTGTACCTAGATACCATGAATATTGTTTTGTTTTGTATTTTTTTTAAGGTGCAATAAAGAGTTATAAATAAAAAAAAATAAGAGTAACTTAACATCTGCCGATGATTTGATTTTCACCAGCATTTTCATTGTTGCATTTTATTTTTATTTAATTGCATTAAATCAATAGAAGCTACTGTTCCAAGGTTGATTTGCTTATGCTTGATTTATTTCATTGTTTTTCTCGAATACAGATGACAGTTTTACAACAATACAATATAAATTTATATTGATAAACACTATGTACATATATATATCAGAACGAGTAGCAAGGTCAGATACAGGCGTGAGTAACGTGATAAGTAATATCAACAATAAATAATAATAATCTCAGGACAATTCACACAGCGCCATCTAGACCCAAGTTAAGCTAAAGCTTGTGTTATGGGTACTAGACATTTGATACATATACATAGATTTTTTTTTGTAAATTCATATTATACATAGAAAACACTCAGACCGATAAAAACAATCATACTCATAAATACAAATGTTTGTGCCGTGCGAGGAATCGAACCCGCGACCATCGGTCGTAAAGCGGTGTGCTAGACCCCTAGACCACCGAGTTTGACAATATAAATATTAATATATATTTTGACGACATATTATATTATTATATAAATATTTCCACGTTGATACAGTTCTTTATGAGTGTATGTTTGTATATAACATATGTAAATTTATGAAGGACTAGAAATAATGAGCATACACGTTATTTTTTTATGAATCTTATTATTTTACTATCTTTAATCATTAGATAGTATAAAACAAAGTCGCTGTCGCTGTCTGTCCCTATGTATGCTTAAATCTTTAAAACGCAACGGATATTGAAGCGGTTTTTTAATAGATAGAGTGATTCAAGAGGAAGGTTTATATACAGGATTACTGGTAACTCGATGTATTCCCGTCAGGACGAGATAGAGGAGCTCAAATGCAATAATTTTGACCCTATACATGTATGCCGAAAGTTAATAGTTTTCGAGTTATATGTACGGGACACGTTTTCATGTCCGTACATGCATTCGAAATCGTGGGGCTCATATTGAGCAAGATTTGTAAAAATAATAAACTTTTTTTCTGTATAAATTTGTTTCATTTAACAATTCATCTTTTAAAATTTCTCACCATTAAATTTTTTTTTTAATTTTTCTTTTTCTATTAAATATCGACTATTATACCTTTTTAGATAGTTCATTAGATGAGAAAGTTTTATTAGAAATTTGTACGCTTAGAGTCATGATGTTTTTTTAAGCTACATAGCACTTAAACTCAAGTAACGTTTAATTTAACAAAAAAAAAAAACTTTGTACTCATAACTATTACTTATTAAGTATTCATGGGTATTTTATGAGTTATTATGTTTTGTTACCACGTCCTCTACACATAAAAATTAGGTTGAAAGACATTCAACAAGCCATTTTTTTTAATAATGTTCTAAAGACGCTGAATTGGGTATTTTTTAAAAATCAATAAATTCAGAATAACTCGAAAACTATTAACTTTCGACCATACATATATAGGGTCAAAATTATTGCATTTGAGCTCCTCTATCTCGTCCTGACGGGAATACGTCGAGTTGTCCGTAACCCTGTATATAATTCATGTATACCAGTGCGAAGCCGCGGCAAATAGCGATTAATATTATAACTGTGAAATAGGAATGTTTGTTAAGCTTTCGCACAAAAACTACTAAACCGATCATCGTGAAATTTTGTACACATGTTCTTGGAGATATTATAATGAATATAGGATACTTTTTATTTAAAAAACTAAATATTTTTGATTCAATGCGAGCGAAACCGCAGATAAAACATTAATTTGTTAAATTTACTGCTACTTAATTAACTTCTTCTATGTCGGTTCCTCAAGGCTGCATTCCTGGCATCCACAACCCTGTGAACGCCAGGAATTGGTGTTCACAGGGTTGTGAACGCCAGTGCTTCATTTCTGCTTCATTGAATTGGAAGGGTTCGATCTGATCTGGGATGAGACTTGGTACATAGATAGTCTAGACCCTGAGAAAGGATATAGGCTACTTTTTAGTGCGAAAAAAGGGTAGTAAGGTGTTAAAAGTAGAGTATAGCGGTATAAAAGTATCGTCATTTTTTAAGATGAAATTTTTTGGGTTATAATCTAACTAAATATATTTTCTTTATTTAGTCTAGGTCACAATACCACGCGGACGAAGTCGCGGGCATAGCTAGTTTTTAATATTTTTAAATTTATATTTTTAGAACATAACCAATGTGTCTTCAATAAATCCACAAATTCCTGGCTATGTACTAACTATAGAGTGATTTATTATATTAGAATGATAGATTACTTATTAACTGTTTATTGCATCAAATCTATTACACATTATACAAGATTTTTACTTAACGGAGTAATAAGTAAAAATGGCGGTCTTGTCCTTCAGGCAAGGGAAAAAGTACATAAAGTGGTAGGTGGTACATTATAGAATAGTAATATAATGAATAATAATGAAAAAATAAGATTAAAAATTATTAATAAGAAGTAACACAAATTACAAATTTAAGATATACATAACTAAATAAATGCACAGCTTAAAATCCCAATATAATATTTTATAAATATAATAAAACTATATTTAAAACATAAACTCAGCAGACAGATATTTCATTAAAAAATATTTATTTAAAATCATCTTTAATACTTCATTTGCCAAATGTAGGTAAACAATAAGTTGTATTAATATATTGTCGCGATCCGTACATTAACCTCATAAGAGGTGTGCAAAATTTCAATTTATAGGTACAATTTATGTTTAATTAAATAAAATCACTGTACTACGTTATCATACAAATAGTAGTTAATTTACTGTCTGTACGTCAATGTATCAGTCAGGACATCCAACCGTGTAGTAAGTTTTATCAATCAGTATCAATATTTCTAAGAGCAGTTTTAAATTGATGGATATAACAATAGATTTTAATGCCGTTGAAAGATTACTATATATCCTAGGTCTCATTCCTAAAATTATTATTATTATTAATATTAAAATCATCGAAATTGGTAGGTGTCGCGTATAAATCTAGCGCTAACTTTAATAGCTTCCCAAGCTTCTTTTCCGGCTTGCTCTAAATTTGTAGGGTCTACTAAATATCCATCATCTTCTATTTCAACATCCCCATAACTAGGCAATTTAATTGTAAAGGAATAAGGTATTTTTCTAACTTCTTTTGCGTAATCAATTGCTGTGCCAGATGCATAGTTCCAAAAAGAAGCTACATGTCCAACAAAGTAATTTTTACTTGCGTCAACTTGTACATTATTTATAGCGTTAGCCATTTGGATACCAAGGAAGTGTAATAGCAAGACGTCATTGGGTAATGCTCCTGAACCGTAACCATAAAGAATTTGACTGCCATAACTTTGGAAATCTAAGAACAGTTGTAGGCGTTGCCGATAGGTTGCAATTATATCTGAAATTAACAATGTTTCTTCTTCAGAGGTAGGAAACTCTCCGTGGTAGAAGTCAGAACAGTCATTATTACTGGAATTGCTTCTAAAATTAATTCTGAAGTTTCGATTAATGTTGACGCCGACACATTCATTGTTTACATCACGATAACGATTCTTCAGCCAGTGTCTTGTAGTTGTCTGTTGATAGAATAAACAAATAATAATAAAACATTTTCTGGAAAAGTATCATTGATTGGGGTCTGTATTTCTATCAAATGTTCCGGTTGTGTGAGACTGTGTGTATGATATAGCAGCAGCAGAAGGCTAGAGGAATAACAAACCATAGCAACAAGACAATATTCGTACAAAAATATAAATATTTCAAAATATCAAATGTCGTACCAGTCAGCGGCCCGAATGCAAGGAGTCCTGTACACCGGTTTTAATATATTTAGCAAGGTGAGGCAAAGAGGCTCTCCGGTTAAGTGTTATCCGTCACTGTAAAATCTATGTTGGATTTTACAAGCCCACAATTTTGGACACTTATGCAAGTTTCTGCGAGATAATTAAAACGATGTTGAGACGATGTATCTTGCAAATGAAAGTGAACTAACCAATAGTACATTAAAATATTGACCTCATATACTAAATAATGATAGTAAAATGCAAATAGGAGTGACGCGATTTGTGCAATGCTTAATCCTTACTAATATTATAAATGCGAAAGTAACTATGTCTCTCCGTGTGTTTCGCTTTCCCGCGAAAATTACTGGACGAATTTAAATGAAATTTGGTACATAAATAGTCTCGACCCGAAAAGAAGGAAGGATAAAAGCTAGTTTTTAATGCGATAAAAGGGGTTGAAAGAGGATATGAAAGTTGGTATGGAGGTATCATTATTTTTAATACTAGAAGATTGGAATCTTTATATAAACGTCACAGGATTTATTTATGTGATTATTGTACCCATTCAAGTCAGTATTCTATATATACATGCATATTCATTAAGTATATCACATCGCACATATATTATAATACTGCATTACCTCAAACAATACAATTTTGAGAAATCCACTCAAAGGTTTTAAAAGTTTAAAGGTCTACAAGCAAGTGTTAAAAGGTTTTTACTTAATAATAATTCATGTAATTCGTATGACATCCATGATAACTGCTATGGTTGCTATTCTTAGGACTATGACATCATACCTTGGTAACCTATAATTTTACTACAATATTTCTTATTACCAACAGAAATATAGTTTGAAAAGCTATCTGGTTGGCGACAGAAATAGGTAAGGGTGTTTCGTCAGCGAACTTTCTAGATTAACTTCATTGTTTTTTATATACCCTGATTATTAATGTATATTACTCTCAAAGATTTCAAGCTCCCAAGTACCATGGCCAGTTGCATCTGGAACACCGGTGTGCAATTATATCCATAAGTTTGAAAAGTCCTCTCTCACCTCACCTCTCTCCGACCTCACCTCACATAATCGAGAATCGGAGCTACCGAAGGTGTATGTCATCGAAAGCAGTAGCAGAATAAGGTACGTGTATGCATTATGTTTGCTAATGCTTACGAGTTTTGAACTTCGATTTTTTTGTAGTCGTAACTGTCCCTATGTAGAATAAAGTCATCTCTATTTTGGTGCGAATTCTACATAGGCATCATCATCTGCTTCTTCCTTATCCCATTTATTTGGGGTCGGCGTAATATGTTTTTCTCTTCTATTCATCTCTATTCGCAGTCATCTCGTTATTTACTTCCTTTCTTACCATATTATCTTTCACACAGTCCATCCATTTCTTTTTCGGCCTTCCTCTTATAACCATCCACATTCGCACATAACACCTTCCTTAAAATATTATCTTCATTCCTACGCATCATCAATCATTTCTAATAATATAAAGAAATAATATTTACCCTACTGAATTCATATCCATCCGGATTGACTACTGGAACTATGATCCAATCAATATCATTAACAAGATCTTGCTCAGTGATATCAGTGACTAATTTGTTTATGGCATACAATGTGGCTGGCAGTGAGATCCATTCTCGAGCGTGTATTAGAGATTGTATGAGTATCACGGGCTTGTTTCGGTCCTGAAAAAAAGTAGTTATAACATTTAGGTACGAACATTTGGTTCCAACAAGATTATTATTTTTCAAGAATTGCGTAATTCTTATTTACTTTAATTATTATGATTAGTTCTTTTATTCTCGGAATTAGTACAAATCACACAAGATAAATTGTAAATTATTTTTATTTAATTGAAGAGTTATAAGTATGGATAAAAAAATGAAACAATAAACTAAAAGACTGTTTTCCCAAAAAAAAAGGCAATGAAGACTTTTGTAAAATTATGTAATCTTTCAACACTTATCCTCGCTGTCTATATATGAGTCGTTGTATATATGAGTAGGTAGCTATATATATGACTCGCCTAACTCGTCTTCTTTTACCACGTTGAAGACTGCATTGAAAAATCTTATATCTCACATTGGGATCGGAATTTCTTTATTGTTAATTACGTATATTATTTTTTTAAAATGGTTTTAGTGTACTCTAATTTGAGGTAGACATTATTTAACCCCTAGATTTATTTAAATTAAAGTGCCCACGAGTGATCACCCGGTCACAACGTGTAAATTTACTTTCGTTGCGTAGGGACAGGGACCCATCAGTAGGCATGCGGTCTTTAACGTGTTAAAAGGGCAAAATATCTTCCTCACTTGGTTAATTTTTACATTGGTTTTCGATTGTTACTAGAGTCTTTCATAGGCCGCTCGAGATGCTTTTTAACGGAAATTGCGTTATAGTAGTTGTTACTGGCAGCTTGTCTACCATTCTTTTTATAAACTTTATATTTTTATATCTATTTTTTATACGTCACTTTTGACTAATTAAATATTGTTTTGTTACTTCTTGCTGTGAGCCCTTTTGGGAAGAATACACGTAACAGTAGTACCGCGTTGTAGGAGGGCTGTCGCAATTTCAGTTTCCTCGTTGTAGGAGGGTTGACTGTATTAATAATAAAGATTTGTAAAATACCGTTGAGTTTTTTTTAATAATTGAAAAATCATTATATAAGCTGTCATTATTTAGATTAGGACTAGATGGCGCTGTGTAACTTATCCAGGGCTATTAGTATTACTAGGACTCCTAATCGCTTTTTCAAGCTACTTTATAGACTACACTGTATTTCAAATTTATAAAACTTCGTTCAAATAACTTTCTTTTTCATTTCTTACCATAAAGTCAGTGGTCGATATTTCGATGTATCTTAGTACTTGACCTTCGAATGTCCTTCCTTCAGAGCGTAATGTGACGGTGTCATGATCTGCGGCTAACTTTGTTAGATGCTCAACAATCTGAAATATAAGTTTGTTTTTCGTAGTGATTATATTTTTTTTTTATTAGATGAATTGTATTTATTTGCGTGAATATTAAAAGAATGTCAGTATTAATAAAATTGTTCACATATTTCGCCATTGTTTTCGCATGCAAAATTTTAGTAATATACGAATTATAATGAATTTATTAATTAAAAATACATTATATGTCAAACATAGGTAGGTACAGAGCACCTATTTTTGTTAGGTGTCAATCAATATTATTTAAATATAGTATATATTAAACAATTATATATTAACAATTTTATTATTTAGTAATCTATACCTACATATAAATAAAATTGGAGTGTCTGTTTGTAATATTGAAATATACCGTTTTTTCTACATGCATATGAATATAAATACGGTACATACACCAAAATAACACTTTTTATAATTTTTGACTGTCTATCTGTTTGTCTGTTTGTTCCGGCTAATCTCTGAAATGGCTGGACCGATTTTGACGGGACTTTTTTGCCAGATAGCGTATCAGCTAATAAGGAGTAACTTAGGCTATTTTTAGAAAAATAAAGTTAAATTCCAAGCAGACAAAGTCGCGTGTACAGCTAGTTCTAAATACACATAATAAATAAATAAACACCTAATCACTTAATTCACTTATTGTATAAAAATAATTGTCAATTAGTCAACTTTGGAATTGGTACTTAAAGTATTTATGATAAATTATTTAAAGTAACAGGGGATTTTATTATATATTTATTTATTTTATCATTTGAAATAATATTCATTGTGTAGGATAACAATAAATATCTTCTTTGGAAAAATATCTTCTCACTCTATCCTGAGGATGATAAAAACCATCGCTTCTAAGAATATCCTCTAGTTGTTTTCCCTGACAGGTATAGGTTATAGGTTATAGCGGGCTCTAAGAAAATCCCGAGCACAATAGATCTATGCAGGTTGGAATGCTACAGATCTCTTTAACACCAAGTCAAATAAAATAACTTAAACAGTAAACTTGTTAACTGTACTTAAAGTCAAGTAACTAAGAACAAAATGATTATGATTTTTAGGAAATGACAAACAAACTGACGGACCACAAGGTAAGTGGGAACTGTCGCCTTTATACCTGAATAGTATCAATGGCATCACGTTATACCACTTACGTGTTGCCATTTCGGAGATCTCTGCTTCCATATTCTGGGAATCTATCCTACAACCGAAATACATCTTACAAAGCAAACTAAAGCTGAAATAGGCAAGATTGAGTATGTGTCAAATACAGCGTGTATAATGTTTTTATTTTTATTGATTTAATGTATTTTTTTTTTATTTTATTTATTTTTTACATTGCACCGAATAAAATATTTTTATTTCTTTCTTCTATTTTCTGTGTAATTTTATGAAAATATTAGCATATAAACTATAAATGTGCGAAATTTCATACTCCTAAAATGGGGTCAAAACTTTTTGCCTCACGTATATATCCTTACTTCTTTACTTACTTACTAATATTATAAATGCGAAAGTAACGCTGTCTGTCTGTCTGTCTGTCACGCTTTCACGCTAAAACTACTGCACCGATTTAAATAAAATTTGGTATAGAGATAGTCTAGACCCTAAGAAAGGACATAGGCTACTTTTTAATGCGATGAAAGGGTTGTAAGGGGTTGAAAGGGGAGATGAAACGTTCTATGGAAGTATCGTAATTTTTAAAACTAGAAGCTTGAAACTTATTTTTTATGCGTTTGACTATCAATATGACATTCAAAGTTTGTACGTATTTTACCCTTAAGGGGGTATAATAAAATAAGCGATGAAATGGAAATTCCTTATTCATCCTCTATTCCTTGCGAACGAAGTCGCGGGCATAGCTAGTATATTATATTTTGTTTAATTCCGTTACTAAACTACTGTTTCAAAGCTATTTACTCATTAATTGCCTGGTAGTACCTCGTCCAGAGTCAAAACACATGTTGGAATATGGGTGTAGATTCAGTAACAGTCCAAATTTTATCACCTTATTATTAGCTATTTATTAGAGAAAGTCGTAACGATTCCAATATAGGTAATCAGATATCTGCACCGAATATTTGCGGTGTCACACATGGCTAATTGTAGTGGAATTAAATCTATACATATAAATAAAATTGGAGTGTCTGTTTGTAATACTGAAATAACTGTTTTTTACTACATGCATATGAATGTAAATACGGTACATACACCAAATATAATATTTTTTACAATTTTTGTCTGTCTGTTTGTTCCGGCTAATCTCTGAAATGGATGACCGATTTTAACGGGACTTCTTTTGGCAGGTAGCTGATGTAATAAGAAGTAACTTAGGCTACATTTATTTTAGAAAAATAAAGTTAAATTCCACGCGGACGAAGTTGCGGGAACAGCTAGTAAAAAATATAATTCTAAGTATTAAATACTAGCTGTGTCCGCGACTTCGTCCCCGTGTGATAGTGACCTTGACCAAATAAAGAAAAACTATTCAATAATCTAATCAAATTACCAAAAAAAAAATTCATCGTCAATCAAGTTCAAATTTTCATCACCCCTTTCAACACCTTCCAACCCTTATTTTGCAGTATAAAGTAGCCGATGTCCTTCCTTAAGTTCCAGACTAACAGTGTACCAAATTTAATTGAAATCGGTTCAGTAGTTTTAGCGTGAAAGCGAGACAGACAGACAGACAGAGTAACTTTCGCATTTATAATATTAGTAAGGTTTAATCATACTTACTTCATCGTAGTTATACATTCTGTCAAGCGCGATACTACCACTTTCGGTTCTGTTAGAACTTAGTTTGGCTGCTTCAGCTAACCGTTCTTTCTCTAAAGCGATCAGCCTGAAAAAATATTACATTAAAAAAATTAAGTATACATAATTTTTTTCTAAATGTACTCGCCCCGGCTACGCACAGGTGTACATGTATTATATATATAAATCTTCCTCTAGAATCACTCTATCTATTGAAAGAATCCGTTGCGTTGTTTTAAAGATTTAAGCATACATAGGGACAGACAGCGACAGCGAAATTATTTTATACTATGTAATGATGATGATAATGATTAAAGGTAAATTTAATATGTACTAGCCTGTATTGATACATATGTCTCGAATATTTTAGTCCCCAAACAGATTGCTTTGTATTTAGGTACAAATACATGAAATAAGAAATGTGCTATTATATGTGGTGAAAACAATACTTAACACGCCCGTAAAGAAAGAACGAGGCCCAAAGAAGAACGAGGAAATAACTTTCTTCCTCGTTCTTCTTGTTATCAGTCTGCCTTCCTTCTTAGTGATAGTGACTATTAAAAAGTTTGGACAAAAATTATAATCTTTATCCTTACTAACGACCACTTCAGTGGTCAAGCGATTTAGTTCACCTCTTTAAATCTTATGGTCGCGGATTCGATTCCTCGCACAGTGGCAACATTTGTATTCACGAGTATGATTGTTTGTATCGGTTGTATGTATGGATTTACAAAAAAATCGAAGAATTTATATTAGTTATCTAGTACCTATAACACAATCGAAACATGTTTACGGTAGTTTAAAGGGGTAAAATTGAATACTAAATCTAAAGGTTTCTTACCCATCTCCTGTTTTTGGTTTAGCAGATACCAAACCAAATAAAACTATTGCACACAAAACCCTATAAACAGCCATTTTAATAATGTATTGCTTTTAGGTTAACACTCCTTATATACTTACATTAAATTATACTTATCAATTAATTTTGTAATGATTTTCGCATTATTTTGATTATCATCGCTGATCGCAATTTTACTGATTGATATGATAAGGTTATGTCCCTTAGTAGTTCAATGGTATAATAATAATTATATTAATAACATAAATCAGAATATTTACAAGTACTATACTGATTTCAATGATACTGCGCAATTCCATATACAAGATATAGAGCAAGTCCGAAATTATAATCGGCCCATACCATCGGCTTATTAATATAGGTCCTCCACCATGCGATTTTTAAGAAACTTTTTGCCACATACATCATAGGTGTCCCGGGCGTAATATAAGCTATGTTTATTATCTGTAGAGCTACACATCCCATGTGGTTGTAACCCACTCATGCACAAACGAAATATCTCCTTTGGAAAGTTTACACTCTTTCCCGAGGAGATAAAAACCATCGCTCCTAAGATATCTTATCTTTCAATTCTTGTACCTGACGGATTTAGGTAGCGAACTCTGAAAAATGGCGAGCACAATAGATCTATGTAGGTCGCAGTGCTACAGGTCCAAGCACCTGACCATAACTCCAAGAATACAATAAAAAAAAACTCTTTTTAGCCGTATGCTTGTTTGCTTCCATTGCAGTATAAAAATATTATTTATTTATTTTATTTATTAAAACTTTAATGCACAAATACATAAATAAAGGTACACATGGCGGACTTAAGGATTGTTTGACATGATGCCTCCACTTCGCACCGTATTGAGGGTAGGAATTTTACGCTGGAACCTAAGTGGTCTCGGAGAGTGCAGTTTCAGAGGAACTTCCTTCCGAACACTTAGATTGTGGAATGAACTGCTTACCTATGTTTATGTCTCTAAAGACTTCAGTATTTTTCAAGAAGGATATATAAAGGTTTCCTAAGATCCTTCCTAAGATCTTCCCTGGTGTTTCAGACGTCCATGGGCTAGGGTAACCATTTACCGTCAAATTGGCCTTATGTTTGATAGCCACCTACCCACATATTTATGAACCGATAATATATAAAAATTGTCAATAATAGATCATATTTCTCCTAAAAAGGTCGACAACTTGCAATTTCCATGGTGATGCAGCTACTCATGGGCGGTGGTAATCACTTACCATCAACAAGTTCATGCGACGTGGTAATTTTTCCATCATGTAATCAACAAAGTGCTATATATTAATGTATTTAATGTAACGTCAATACGTGAAGCAAAAAATGTTGACCCCTTTTAACAAAAGACTAGGGCCCTCATTGATCACTTCTAATTATATAAACACTTGGCAAACTTAGGCCTGTGCTTAACAAAATTTGCAGATTCTGCCAGGTTGTAGACGAAACGCATAGGACGTGTCGTGACACGTCCTAATTTATTGATACTTAAGAATGCCTCTGACTACCAGAATGTTTAACACAATTTCCTATAGAGAGCACTAGAGGGCTACAATAAATCACACAATTATTTACACTGCGTATATTCGTCACCGCAGTGACAAAAGAAGCGACTAAAATTAAAATTAATGCAATTCCAATACATGGGTTGGGATTCGTCCCAACCCATGTATTGGAATTGTATTTCAAATTTCAACATTCGAAATTCAAACAGCGCGTTTCAATTTTTCTACTAGCGCCATCTAGTAACAGACATGAGAAACAAACCTAGTATTCTGTGATCAGAGAATATATATATAAACACAGAGATTCTGGGATAACAAACATGAGGTATCTTACGTCTGTTTTTCAATTTTATGAACATTCGTAGAAACTAAAATCTTTCTTTATATTACATTGCTGTTATATCGCAGTTGCTCTTTATTTAATAATAATAATAATATCTCAGGACAATTCACACAGCGCCACCTAGTCCCAAGCTAAGCTGAGCTTGTGTTATGGGTACTAGACAACTGATATAAATACGTGGATGCATTTTTTTTTGTAAATAAATACATATTATAAGTAGAAAACATCCTACCGCTACAAACAATCATGCTCATGAATACAAATGTTTGTATCGTGCGAGGAATCGAACCTGCGACCGTCAGATAGTTAAGTTTAGTATAAAACCTCTAGACCACCGAGGCTGTTAATTTGCAGTAGTTGTTATATCACAAAAGCTTCGTTTTTTATTTCTCCATATAAACCTTTCTTAGCAGTTATGAAAATTTAATTTAGAATAGATTAAAATGGTGTAGGACGGCATTTGCCTTTATTAGTTACTAGTTGTTCCCGTGACTTCGTCCGCGTGGAAATTAACTTTATTTCTCTAACATAAAAGAATTTTTCTAAATTAATAGTAGCCTAAGTTACTCCTTATTACATCAGCTAACTGCCAAAAAAAGTCCCGTCAAAATCGGTCCAGCCATTTCAGAGATTAGCCGGAACAAACAGACCGACAGACAGTCAGACAACAATTGTAAAAAATGTTATTTTGGTATATGTACCGTATCTATATTCATATGCATGTAGTAAAAAACGGTTAGTTCAATATTACAAACAGACACTCCAATTTTATTTATATGTATAGATTAAGGTGTCTGATCATCGCTATTTGATACTGGTAATGGGACACTGATATTTATGGAAAAAACTTGTTATATCTCTCAAACATTGGATAATGGGAGGAACTACGAAGAGAAGGCAAGAACGTAGACTGCAAATAAAATGTCGCACTTTTACTATATTTTCATATGTGAAGTATTTAAAAGATCTACAAATAAAGGAAATAAAAGCATTGGGGAAACTAATATTTAATATCTCAAATTTTATAAACATATAGTCAATCATATAATCTGTTCGTCCATAAGTGAAGTGAATCTTCTCATATAATCTCTTCATCCTGAGTGCTGCTTGTGGGAAATGGTACGTTCGGGTTAAACGATTTAATTGAGTATTATCTTATACTACATGTAATACCACAGACAGGATCAGACTGTATTTATTCCATCCCTCTCTTATAGTATTTTAACATTTATTATTTATATTATCATTACAATTATTTTATATCATTAATTTAAAAAGAGCAATAGCAGAGTTTCCTGTCACTTGTTCTCAGCTCAAATTACATTCTGAATTCTAACTGTAGATTTAATTTCTTAGAAGCGTCCAATCTTAATTGACCTACATGTATAAAGGTATTTTGATTTGATTAAGAAACATAATTTGTTTCTAAATGTAATTATCATTGTATGTTTAATTAAAGATAAACTTCATGTACTCGCCTGTATTGATACCTCTGTCTAGCTTATATTATTCCCCAAACAGATTGCTTTGTAAGCAGCCTTTCGGCAAAATAAAAAAAAAAGGCATCATATACATACAAAGAATTACTAAACTTTATCTTTACTATATTTATGGTGTACTTTTATAATTTTATATATAAGTATAATAGATATATATACTGTATGTATTAACCAAATTTACAAAAATCAGTGTTGATCTCTAATCGTCATATTTAACTTATTATTAAATGTCAACGAAGCTATTCATTTTAGTAAATACTACTGTTAAACTAATTTTCGATACTCAATGTCTTGTTTTTTAGTAATAATGTATAATATATAAATTTTTTTAAAGCTTTTAATAGCGATAAAATTTATTTCCTCTTTTAATACTTGTACAAAATTCCAGAAGAAATAGAAATAGAAATAATCTTTATTCAAATAAACTCATTACAAGCACTTTTGAATAGTCCTAATTTGATTCTACCACTCATTCGGAATAAACTTGTGTGTTGCTCTTTTTAATAGATGTTTTTTTATATAAATAATTACAGTATAACAAGTAAGAGGCATGCGACAATCAACATAGAAATCGCTACGCACTCATTATTAGTGTAATCAGATAATATTGTCAGTGCTATGGATTTAAAGTTTTTCTATAAAAACATTATTGTCGTTAACGATTTCTTCAATTTTATAGTAGGCTTTTTTGCAAAGGAACTGTTTTGTTTGATATTTTAATCTTTTTCCTGGCAGATTTATAACAGACTCTGGTATTTTATTGTAAAACCTTACGCAATTGCCATAAAACGAATTACTAACTTTAGCCAAACGACATTTAGGTAAAATCAGTTTGTTATGATTTTGTTATGAGTTAGTGATTGCACCAATAAAAGCTTACGTAACAGGTAAGCTTTTATTGGTGCAATCACTAACTCTTTTGAAACTGTCCATATTCTTCCTGGTATAGATGATATTTTCATAAATGTATTGAGAAGAACACTCTCGCAATGACTCCCTGGAACCCATAGCATAAATGGAGCGAATGGCCCTCTTTTGTAAAGTAAATATTTTATTTATATCAGCTGCTTTGCCTCATTACAAAATACCACACGGCATAATGCTATGGAAATAGCTAAAATAGACAAGTTTAGCCATTGCCACGTCTGTTAATTGTCTAATTCTTCTTACCGCATAAGCGGCAGAACTAAGTCGCCTCGCCAATTTAGTAATATGAGCACCCCATTGCAACTTGGAATCTAATGTGATACCTAGAAATACAGTATCGTCAACAAAATTAATAGGTTTATTGTCCAATACGATTTTCGAATCTACCGGCCTTACATTGGGGAGAGTAAATTTGATACATTTAGTTTTATTTGCATTTAGTCGCATATTATTAGCAGTAAACCATTTTAAAACATAAGAGAGAGCACCGTTTACTTCGTCTATATCATCAATATGTCGATTGACTTTGAATACTAATGAAGTATCATCCGCAAACAGAACTATGTCAGCTATCTTTTCTACCATATAAGGAAGATCGTTTATGTAAACTAAAAATAAGAAAGGGCCTAGAATAGAGCCCTGAGGAACACCCATTTTAATACTAGTTCCCTCAGACTTTACACCATTTATTTCAACAACTTGCATTCTATTATTTAGATAGGATTTCATCATGCTTAGTGCTTCATATCTAATACCGTAATGTTCTAGTTTGAGTAAG